TGAGACTGACTAAGCTTTATTGTTGTTGCTCAATTGTCTATTGTCAAATATTTGATCATCTCTGATTTTGTTTTTAGATTCACCCAGGGGTAATGAGTCACATATAGTGTTTTTTCACCCATGTTGAGATGGCGTTTAGACCAGGGACAATAGTTGGAAAGTTCAGCATGTTGTTTGGACCCGTGTCAGTTTTTCACCACAGGGAAGACCGAATGTGTCAAAAAAAAAGGGTCAAAACAAACTTAGTCTTCAGCAAAATAAAGTATAAAGTTACAGTACAGTTCATCCCGGGAATCTCATTATTATGGACACATTCATTGACACAGTGGACCGCAATTGGCCCTCGGGCCTTAATTTGGACATGACTTCTTTAGAGTAGTGAGTAAGTAAGTAATCTTTATTTATATACCGCCTTTTCACTGCACATCGGAGTCTCAAAGCGGTTTACAATTGTGATTTTTTTTTTTTTGGGAGTGGGGGTGCCAGTACAGGAGGCACATGCCAGACCTATTGTACATATTTTTAGTGGTAGGGGAAACCGGAGCACCCTAGAGCCGCCCTAGAGTCTCACTATTTAACAGACGGAGGCTAGGTATGTCACTGAGAGCACAAATATTATAAATAATGTATCAAATCTGTTGTAGACATTTCCTGTAGAGTTGTATTCAGCAATATTTATGGACTTTTTTTTACATTTAAGGACACTGGTCATCTGCCCCTTGTGGACCAATGGCTCTATGTGTTTTTTCTCATTGCATTTCTTGTGTTTGAACTGTTTGATTCTCTGATCTGTGTTGGCAAATTCAACGGTTTTGTGAAGTCCGCTGAGATAACTGTTGTAATTTAGGGCAATACAAAAATAAATTGAATTGCTTCGACTTGGGCCTTAAAACGGTGGTGGAACGTGGCAGATGGAGTCCTCCCTCCACGCTGTCACCACTTCCTCTCTGCGGGCTGTTTCCACCAGAGCTTGGCACCTCTCTAGGTTCCACGAGTGTCAGATGCCATTCCAGGTGGTGGTATTTTGGGCTGGCTTTGATAATGGGTCCATGTGCCGGACAGTGTGGGAGAGCATATGCTTACATAAGGCCATGCTGGACACAGTAACACAGCACTGAGGAAACTTTGTCTCAGTGTACATGCAGGTTCAGACCTCTCTTGTCTCAGTATACATGTAGGTTCAGACCTCTCTTGTCTCAGTATACATGCAGACTCAGACCTCTCTTGTCTCAGTATACATGCAGACTCAGACCTCTCTTGCCTCAGTATACATGCAGGTTCAGACCTCTCTTGTCTCAGTATACATGCAGACTCAGACCTCTCTTGTCTCAGTATACATGCAGACTCAGACCTCTCTTGCCTCAGTATACATGCAGGTTCAGACCTCTCTTGTCTCAGTATACATGTAGGTTCAGACCTCTCTTGTCTCAGTATACATGCAGACTCAGACCTCTCTTGTCTCAGTATACATGCAGACTCAGACCTCTCTTGCCTCAGTATACATGCAGGTTCAGACCTCTCTTGTCTCAGTATACATGCAGACTCAGACCTCTCTTGTCTCAGTATACATGCAGACTCAGACCTCTCTTGTCTCAGTATACATGCAGACTCAGACCTCTCTTGTCTCAGTATACATGCAGGCTCAGACCTCTCTAGTCTCAGTATACATGCAGACTCGGACCTCTCTTGTCTCAGTATACATGCAGACTCAGACCTCTCTTGTCTCAGTATACATGCAGACTCAGACCTCTCTTGTCTCAGTATACATGTAGGTTCAGACCTCTCTTGTCTCAGTATACATGCAGACTCAGACCTCTCTTGTCTCAGTATACATGCAGGCTCAGACCTCTCTTGTCTCAGTATACATGCAGACTCAGACCTCTCTTGTCTCAGTATACATGCAGGCTCAGACCTCTCTTGTCTCAGTATACATGCAGACTCAGACCTCTCTTGTCTCAGTATACATGCAGACTCAGACCTCTCTTGTCTCAGTATACATGCAGGCTCAGACCTCTCTTGTCTCAGTATACATGCAGGCTCAGACCTCTCTTGTCTCAGTATACATGCAGACTCAGACCTCTCTTGTCTCAGTATACATGCAGACTCAGACCTCTCTTGTCTCAGTATACATGCAGACTCAGACCTCTCTTGTCTCAGTATACATGTAGGTTCAGACCTCTCTTGTCTCAGTATACATGCAGACTCAGACCTCTCTTGTCTCAGTATACATGTAGGTTCAGACCTCTCTTGTCTCAGTATACATGCAGACTCAGACCTCTCTTGTCTCAGTATACATGCAGGCTCAGACCTCTCTTGTCTCAGTATACATGCAGACTCTGACCTCTCTTGTCTCAGTATACATGCAGACTCAGACCTCTCTTGTCTCAGTATACATGTAGGTTCAGACCTCTCTTGTCTCAGTATACATGCAGGCTCAGACCTCTCTTGTCTCAGTATACATGCAGACTCAGACCTCTCTTGTCTCAGTATACATGCAGACTCAGACCTCTCTTGTCTCAGTATACATGCAGACTCTGACCTCTCTTGTCTCAGTATACATGCAGACTCGGACCTCTCGTCTCAGTATACATAAGCGTGGTATCGGCTGTGGCCAGATATCTTTCAGTCCACGCTCTGGACTCCAAAGCTCTCCTCGGTCAGCTCTCTGGAGGGGCCCTGGGCTCCGACCCAAACCTCCACATCGTGCTCCACATTCGACTCTGCACCGTTGTCATGGAGACACAGCGGCCCGGAGACCCTCCTGGTGTGGCCAAGTTTTTGAAGTATTGACACAGAGGGCTTGTTCCACTTTCACTCCAGTTTAGTTGACTTGAATAGCTGTAAATAAAAAACTTGCCAAACTTGCATGCAAAAGACAGATCCTGTTTGATGTCTGAAGATGTCTGAAGGGCCTGGTTAGTACTGTGATGGGAGACCTCTGGGAACACCAGGTGCCATAGTGTGTCGGCTGTAAAGTGGGAAACTGTCTTGTGTCCTTAAGAAAGACACTTTACCGACGAGTTTGGTGTGTGTGTGTGAATGGTTGGTAGTGATTGGAGATGGCACAGACTGGTTGCCTCACTTCTGTCAGTGTGCCCCAGGGCGGCTGTAGCTACAGTAGTAGTTTTACACCACTATGTATGGAGTGAAAGAATAATGACATGTGAAGCGTCTTTGAGTGTAAGAAAAGCGCTGTATAAAACCAATGCATTGTTGTTATTTCAAATGAGAGCAGAGCAAGTAGGGCTGGTGGAAACGGGGCTATATTGTTCTCCACATGACAGATTGGAGTCGGATAAATCGGACTAAGGTTCCTGGTGGTGAATACGCAGTGATGATGTGAATGTATCACGCGGTGAGCCTGTTTGAGGGTTTGCTCACCGCGGTTTCCTCATCTGCTCTTCCTTCCTCTCTGCGTCTGCGCTGCTCGCTTCTCTATTTTGGTGCCCAATGTTTTTAATAATCAGGTCGTCATGGCAACAGGCCTAGACATGTTCCGCGTCTTTTTTAACGACTGAATGATTAATGGCGGTCTGTATGGCAAAAATGTATGGACCGTTTAGGTTTTAGTAACTACACAATTTACAGCCTTAATTAAGTATGAGGAAACACTTAATTAATAATGAATTGTTAGTGTTAGGTTTAGGCAAGGTAAGAGTATTTATATATTACTATTCCTACTCAAGAAAACTCAAAACTAAATAATAACAAAACAAACATTAAAAGCTCTTTTGAATTATAAATAATCAGAGTACATGAAAAAGAATGATACAATCCCTCTGCTTTTAACTCTTTTTACTCTACTTTCTATGGAAATGAAAAGCCCTGTTTGGTGATGGAACTGGATTAGTTCTGGACAGGTTTGGGATTAGTCTTGGTCTAATTTGAAAATATGGATGAATTATTTGGGCTTCAGGTGTGTTTTGGATGAGCAACAATGCTGAGCTTTGATGAGCAGCTCCAGAAAGACTTTTGCAGAATATTAGTGAGAATGGGAAACATAATCTGCAGCGCGTCTGATGCTGGTATCTGCTGCTGGTATCTGCTGCTGGTATCTGCTGCACAGACTGATGAAGCATGCAGAGAATGTGGATCATCTGATTTGGATTTCCCTTTTCTATAGTCTGCAGTGCACATGGAGCACCTCCTCTGTCTCCTCTCAGGCTTCTAGAAGCTAAAATGGCCTTCGGTGCCTCTTAAACTTAAACGTGTACTGCAGTGTATTATAGTGTACTGTAGTGTACTATAGTGTACTGTAGTGTACTATAGTGTACTGTAGTGTATTTTAGATTACTGTAGTGTATTATAGTGTACTGTAGTGTACTATAGAGTACTGTAGTGTACTATAGAGTACTGTAGTGTACTATAGAGTACTGTAGTGTACTATAGAGTACTGTAGTGTACCATAGAGTACTGTAGTGTATTATAGTGTATTATAGAGTACTGTAGTGTACTATAGCGTACTATAGTGTACTGTAGTGTATTATAGAGTACTGTAGTGTGTTATAGTTGAAAGAAAGAAACTGGGTTAGGGGCCCCAGTCAGTGTACATTAACTATATTCCCACAAGGTGTCGGCCCACTGGTGCAACAAGAAGGTCCTAGTTTTGTTTATGTGCAATTATATTTGTCTGGAAAGCACTTTGTGACAGTTATTTCCTTTTTTTAAATGTGCTATTTAAATAAACATAGTTTATAAACCTCGTTTGACTCTTTCCATGTTGAGTTTGCAAGTTCTCCCCGTTTCCTCCGGGTGCTCCGGTTTCCCCTACTACTTAAAACATATACAATAATTATGGATGAATGAGTGTGTGTTTGTGACATTGTAACAAAATAGCCCAAGGAACGATCTGGTGTATTTACATCACTGCTGTTCATTGTAGCGCCACCTGCAGGTGAAAGTGCCAAACTGTTGTTGTGTCCTTAGACAACACACTTCACCCACATTGACTAGAATGAGTCTGGAGTGTGTGTTAATGGTTGGTGTTGTGTCCCCCACAGAGTACGTCCCCCACCGGCCCGGCCCGCTCCGACTCTCCGGTCTACACCAACCTGCAGGAGCTGAAGGTGTCCCAGTCCAGCATGCCCCCTGTGCCCTCGGGCTCCCCTCTGCACCTGCTGGGAGACTGGGAGACCCACAAGGACTCCAGCGGCCGGCACTTCTACTACAACAGAGGCAGCGGGGAGAGGACGTGGAAGCCCCCTCGCACACGAGACACGTCCAGCAACGGCAGCAGTCTGCGAGGGGACAGCCAGGGCCCCGGGGACACAGAGGTCAGGACATGTACAGGGATATAATCTATATTCCACTTGTGTGTAGAACCTTGTGGGAATTTAAAAGCTGAGGAAACAAGCTTTCAAACCACAAAAAAAGATTAGATTAAGATTGGATTATTTGTTTTTTGTTCTTTTTCGATCCTGCAGCATGTTCACATAAATAAAAAAAGGGACCACCCTCACTCACCCAATCTGATCTCATCCCAAAGAGTCAAATAGTGACTCAGATCTCGTTCGTACAGGTATGCAAAAACACCATGGAGACTAGAGATAGACCAATATGGGTTTTTCAGATAAGCACTGATGCTAATGCTAATGCACTCGTTGGCGAATATCCATTGAGGTCATTCCATAATGCCTTGATGAATAGGCAAGACAAGTTTATTTGTATAGCACTGTTGAATATTGATAAGAATAGGCTCATTTTACAGAAGAGGAGGAACAACGTGGATATCAAGATGTCAAGTTGTTTTTAGTGGAAAGTCTGATTTGTAAACAGCATTTTACTTTTACATTTACATTTGGATTTATTTGAGTTTTTTTAATTGGAACAAGTATTTTTGTTCTTGTTGTCGGCAGTATTATTGGCTCATCTTTATCATTTATAGAAATTGCAAAAATGTGTGGCACAACTCAGCTCTGACAGTAAGAATTTAGTAAGAAATTATATATTTTTTAAACTCCAATTCAATTGTTTATTGATTTTTTTTTTTTTTTAAATCAGTGAAATAATGGTTGTACTATAGCAAGGGTGTGAACACTTTTATCTAAGAAGCCAATTCAACATTTTATCGGCATTGTCCATGGGCAAACTGTTTGGATTCTGGCTGTTCTGAGCTTTGAAATTAGGTATGACCTGTCTCTACTGATTCACATTTGACTGAGCAGAATTTGGCTGAATGACAAATGTTTAGTCACACAATACATTCGAGTCATACGATCAAAAACTGTCAGTACAGTCAAACAAAGTCAAGAATTTCAGAGATCCTGAGCTTCACACTGATGTAAAACATCTAAAAAAGAAGGTTCTGGTTTCGAATCCCGGTCGGAATAGGACCGTTCTGAGTGGAGTTTACATGATTTCCCCGTGTCTGTGTAGGTTTCCTCCTGGTACTCCGGTTTCCCCTACCATCAAAAATATGTACAATAGTTTAGGGTGAATAAGTGTGTGTTTGTGAGTGCGACTGTGGGACGACAGACGCAAATTAGCCCAAGGCTACAATCCGGAGAGGTGTGTTCATTAAGATGCACCAAATAAACAATAAGATAAAGTGTTTAGCCATGTCTATACTGCAGGTAAAAGATGTGTGTGTGGGAATTGGGTATTTTCTCTCTAACAAAATTAAGACTTTTTATCAAACAGAATGTCAAAAGTCACATTACATTTGCAGTGCAGACATATCCCTTTAGATTTGGTCTCCTCTCACTGCGCTACACTGAACAATACAAAAGCAATTTGCTTAGCTTTGTTTTTGTTTTTGCTGCTGGACACCAAAGTTTTTCCAACGGTAGATTGATAAAGTGTCTCTCTTTCCTTCAGCCGCTGTCCTCAGAAGAGAACTGCAACAGCACTCACTCCAGTCAGTCGGACAGTCAGTACGGGTCGCCCCCTAGAGGCTGGTCTGAGGAGCTGGACGAGCACGGCCACACCACCTACGTGTCAGAGTACACCCAGGAGAAGGTCAGGGCACATGGCTTTTCTTACTCAAATGTTTTTCTCACATGTTTGTAAGACTGTGTGTGTGTTTGTCACAGTGGATCAAACACATGGATGAGCAGGGCCGGCCGTATTACTACAGCGCAGACGGCTCCAGGTCGGAGTGGGAGCTGCCCAGGGTAAGCACTGGGGGCCGTCGTTTAGTAGATTGATTGACAAAATGTATTGCTATTTTACATGCCGTTCACATAACACAGTATATTTATGATTGGGGATATCCATTTTACTGTCCTACCTAAAATATGGCTAAAACGATCATCATTCAGTTGGTAGGGAAAATAAGGCATGCACACAGAGGAAAACCATCTGGCTGAGTGGTTAACACTCTCGCGTCTCAGCAAAAAGACTCTGGCTTTGAATCCTGTTGTTCTCCCCACTTCTGTTCTGGTTGCCTCCTTTTGCTCTGGTTTCCCCTACCACTAAAAACATGTACAGCTGGTAAAGTACTCTGGTTCTTGTTCTGACTAAGAGCATCTGGAGACCACTGCTCCTGACATTGCCCAAGAAGCAATGAATGATGGGTCAAATGTAGGGGGCAATAAAGTGCCCACATTGTTGGGATGAAGCTTGAAGGGGCAGCATCATGCTCTAGGGATGAGGCATGGGGGGGCAGCATCATGTTGTCAGGATGTTTTGTTGAAGGGGAGGGACTGGTGGACCAGATTGCATTTAAAAAAATAATGATATTTTGAAACGACAACTGAACCCATCAGACGGGTGGGTCACGGTGTAGGAGTGTCCATCACAGCCCTGATCCGCTTTCTCAGCTCCACCCACTAATGGTCACTAATGTTCACTGATGTTCACTAGTTTTCACTAATGGGAACATTAGTGGGCAGAGCTGAAAAAGCTGCTTTGGGCAAACCTGACTCTGTTCCATCAGTTCTCTCAGGAGGAATGGGCCGAACTTCCACCAGCTTAGTGTGAATAACTTGTGGAAAGATACCCAAAACTAGTGATGCACCAATGTGAAAATTATGGCCCACACCCATGTTTATAGATGTGGAGATCTTTCTAAACAGTTTAAATGGCAAATCTACCAAATATTTACCATGGAAATTAAACCTTCATGACTACCCAATGTTTATATTTTATTCTGACCTTTCCCCACTGTGCGACGAATAAAGGATCTCTTAATCTTAATCCTAATGTATTGAGTTAGCATTTTTTCCAAATGAATGTAAAGTTTTGGTTTCAACTGTACTTTCTACATTGGTGTATTGAATTTATACAATAAAGATGAATGGGGCCAGCACTGACCCCTGTGGAACCCCTGAACCACCAATGACATAATAGACCTCTCACCTGAGCTCGAACTAGTGTAATTTGCTTGTTGATGACCTACATTAGTCCAGTCTTTGTGAATGGAAGCAGACACGCCTTCACAGCTTAATGCTACCGCTAGTATACAGTAGTTGAAGTAATTAAATAAGCAGATAAACCGCAAGTGACCGTCTATTTGTGTCTCTTTACCTTGTAATCTGAAGCTTTGAGGCTGCTCTCAGTCTGCTCTCAGTCGGTCAGACATTTGTCCCACTGCTGCAGACATAGCTTGGTTCGAGATAATGTAGAGAGGTGGTTTTCGGAGGTAAAAACGTGTCTATGCAGCTTTGGACGGCTAAACGAGAGGTATGCAAGAGTGGGGATGAAAAAGAAGACTGCTTTTGTTTAATATTTATAGATACTGACTTTCTCTGCAGTACAACATCTCACCTCAGTGCGGGGAGCTGCCCAAAAGTCGCAGTCTGGAGAGGAAGCAGCAGGAGCCCATTGTCCTGACCAAGTGGAGACACAGCACCTACGTTCTGGACCTAAATGACAAGGTACCGTGTCCAGGACTCAAAAAACACAAGACAGATGTAGTAAATGCTTTAATGTCAGTGGTGCAAGAAGTACTATAGTCTGTTATGCAAGTACAAGCTCACTAAGGGAGTGTTTGAGGAAAGGGACTGCTTTAGTTTGCAAAAGCCAGCAAGGGGTACTTAGCAACCGTTGTCATGACCTAAATGAAGACGCACAATATTTCTCATTGTCTTTACAAAACAAGAAATATTTTGGATTTTTATAGCAGCTTAATAACGTCCTGCATGTGATTGACCCTTCGATGTAATTTTATAATGCAAGAGTTAATGTTTGTGTGTTGCTATGGTAATGCCTCAGGTGACATGGATGTATTGATCAATAGTATTTTGCATTGAAACCCTCATTGAAGCCCTCACTGAAAGGAACGGCATGCAGTTCTGGAAGGAGGAACTTGTGCGGCTGAATTGTATTTGAGACCTCTGCTTTAATTCAAATAAGTAATTTTTCATGTGTTTTTTTTCTATTTGCATTGTTATAAAAGCAGATGGTATAACGTTAATAAATAGTAGCTAATGTTTGCTGTGTTTGCTGTTATACGCTGGTGATGTGTACAATTATCCAGGAAAGAGGACATGGCCATCCACAAAGGTCAAGTCTTGGAATAAATAAGTTGAATAGTCCTGGAGGTTGTTTGTCTGTTTTTATTTTAGCTAGAGTCTTGGGCCGGTCAGACTCCGCCCGCTGTAGACTCTTGTCCTTGTTCTTAACTGTATCCAATGTTTAAAGGTCAGACCCAAAACTAGTCCATCTCGACCTGGCTTTGATTGTGTCAGTTTTTGGATTGCATATATTTCAGTTTCCACCAGCCCTGCATGGCCCTACTCTACTCTACTCTACACAGCGCTGCTCTACCTTGTTGTGTTTCCTTTACACATTAGTATCTGATCCTGTATCCTAGCAACCTACCCACAACAAATTCTGTGAAAATTCTTTGGTAATTTAATACTAGTTTGGCCTGGATAGAACCAGGGCCATGCAGGTGATATAGTATCTGGTACCGGTTTACCAGAGACAGTGGAAACGCTCCCAATCGGGGTGGAGCCGAGCTGAGCGGAGCTGGTGGTGAAGGGGGTGTAGGCACAGATTTAAAGGTTGTTTCCTTCCAGTTCTCATTCAGACTTTGGCACTTGGCTCCTGCGCAGAACAAGAAGAGGTTCCGCTTTTCTCTGGGCTCACACAAAGTTTGTACTGCGGGCCTCCTCCCAAATAGATCCCTGAGCTGATCTGATGTAATCACAAATTCCTAGTCTTAGATTTATTTTTTTTAAATCAAATTGGAACTAATAATGACTAAGATGGATGGTACAGCAAGGCATCTTAAATGTTTCAACACAATTTTTACAATCTTGTGAATCCTTGAAGGGTTGTGACTTTCAATGAGTGTGTGCGCCCTATGAATGAGTGGATCATTTCTATCTTTTTGTGACCAGTAAAGAACTTTCCTAAACTAACCTAATTTTGAAGTTTAGATTGAGGCCCTGTCCAGACGAAGAAGAAGCAGCGTATACATTTGAAAGAATATTACCTAAAGACAGAACCGGCTCTGTTAATATTTTCGTCCACACAAAACTGAAAAACTAATTCATTTCACTTGGGAGAATTGTAATGTATGTGTTGGGCCTGATGGTGGCGCAGTGACAGAAAACACCAAATCAGACAAAGAAAAGCTCAGTACACCCCGTGCATGAAAATAACAACAGTGCTAACTCTGCGCTAGAGCTAGTGCTGCGGTAATGCTAATGCTTACATTGAACTAAAAGCTTAGACTCTAAACGCACTCTCTAGTCTCTCTCTGGGGTCTCTCTCTGATCTCAGTCTGGTTTCTCTCTCTCTTGTCTCTCTCTGGTGTCTCTCCTCATGGTCTGGTCTCTCTCTGGCCTCTCTCTCTCTCTCTCTCTCTGGTCTCTCTCTCTCTCTCTGGTCTCTCTCTCTCTGGCCTCTCTCTCTAGTATCTCACTCTGGTCTCTCTCACTCTTGTCTCTCTCTGGTCTCTCTCTCTCTCTCTGGTCTCTCTCTCTCTGGCCTCTCTCTCTAGTATCTCACTCTGGTCTCTCTCTCTCTTGTCTCTCTCTGGTGTCTCTCTCTGGTGTCTCTCCTCATGGTCTGGTCTCTCTCTGGCCTCTCTCTCTCTCTCTCTCTGGTATCTCACTCTTGTCTCTCTCTGGTCTCTCTCTCTCTCTGGTCTCTCTCTCTCTGGCCTCTCTCTCTAGTATCTCACTCTGGTCTCTCTCTCTCGTCTCTTTCTGGTGTCTCTCTCTGGTGTCTCTCCTCATGGTCTGGTCTCTCTCTGGCCTCTCTCTCTCTCTCTCTCTGGTATCTCACTCTTGTCTCTCTCTCTCTCTCTCTCTCTCTCTGGTCTCTCTCTCTCCTGTATCTCTCTCTGCTCTCTCGACTGATCTTTCCACTGTATAACCTGGACCCCAAAACGCCGGTTTTGTATGGATGATACAATAAAATATTTGAGCAGGTATTTTTGCGTTTAAGCCGGTATGTGACTTGTGTGGACAGGGCCTTGGACTCTCTCCTCTCCTTCTGTCCCATGATACTTGATACTAACCCATTTCCTTTGACCCCCAGCTCTAACACAGTCGCTGAGTCGTTACTCTGATCCTCATCTGTGTCTTAATGTCCACACGATTCTCAAAGCCGCATGGATCGATCCAGCAATAAAACAGCCAGCCGGTTCAAGATTAAGATTATGATATCATTTATTCGTCCCACAGTAGGGAAATTTCAGTGTTGCATCACTAGAAACAGAACCGTAGGAATGAGGAGCACACAGGAAAAGATAAGTGAACAATAATGCTGAACTAAAATGAAATAAAAAACTTTAGCATATTAAAGAAGCAGGTCTACAATCTCCAATTTAAGCATAATGAAGAAGCAAGAATTTTGTTTAAAATCTCTGACTTTAGAATAATAATAAGTTAAGTAAAAAATCTTCAGCATAATAAAGAAGCAATTCAATCGGCCAGCAGGTATACATGCATTGGGATGACTTTTTCATAGAAGAATAGAAACAGCTGTATACCTTCTTCCTTCTCCGGCCAATATTCTACCATGGCATGTTATACCTAATTTAAGATAATAAGATCATTTTCTCAGGAAATCAACCACATCCTATATGATGTTAAAGTTCTCAAATTGATTCAAAGTTCCTGCTTCGAGGATTCTAAAGCAGAAACTTTAAAATCATATTAGGCTTAGAATAGCTTTATCAATACTAAACACGTCTACCTGGGCCCCACCCCTTCTGTCTAAAGACGGTTTTCAAACTCGACACTTTCATTGTGATGTTGTGGACAGAGCTTTCATGAAGGGGAGGAGTGAAAATTTTTTTTTAAACGCAACAAATAATTGTGTTTAATCCAATGGAATCCCTCTTTTCCCAAAAGAGGCCGAGGCTCTGGTAGATCCTGGGGCCTTTGGGAGCGGGGCGGACATTGGGACACGGCTCTGGTGCTGCTGAGCTCTCACTGTGGTTCTTGTCAGCAGGAGAACCCTCCAGCAGGGCCCAAGCAGAGCTCCCCGGACTCTGACTCCTGCCCATCGTCTCCCAAACACCCCTCCACTGTTAGTACCACCTCCACCCAAACATCCACCCATGTGCACAGTCTCTACACCACAGTCTCTACACCACAGTGCGCAGCCGCCACTCTCCACCTCTGCATGGACATGTGTGCACTAACAGCTAACCTCTAAACACACTCTCTATGGGGCCTCTCTGTCTCTAGGATCTCTCTCTCGTCTCTCTGATCTTTCCACTCTAGGACGTCGATTTTTGCCACACCACAGTCCATATCTGCATGAGCCGGTGTGCACTCACTGCTGACCTCTGCTGGTCTCCTAATAATTAGTGCAACATACAAGTGGATGATGCAGCTCAATGCGCAGCTCTCGATACCTGTTTATCTCAAGAGAAGTTCTGTAGAGTCTTGTTCGGCCGATCTACAGCTGATCAGGGAAACGTCAGGTTTTCAAAGTACATTCTACAAGTTGATTCCTTTTTAAGACCAGAGTGTCTCTTTCTTACCTGACAGTTTGGATCGCAGCGTTTTCCTCAGAGTCTGGAGATGTTCCTGTGACGTGTCTTGTCAGATGTTCAAAGCACATAATTTACACGAGCAGCAGTGAGACGTGGCTTTATTCTACCAGACTGAGCACAGTCAAACAATCATAATACATCCTATTAATAATTGTTTAAACATTGAGGTTGTTTACCAACTTAAAAGATCACGTTGCATTACATTGAGTTGAACTCTTAGCTACTCGACACAGTGGCTGAGTGGTTATCACTCTCATTTCTCAGCAAGAAAGTCCTGAGTTCGAATCCAGGTCAGAACAGGGCCTTTCTGAGTAGAGTTTGTATGTTATCCTCGTGTTTGCATAAGTTTCCTCTGGGTGTTGCGGTTTCTCGTACGTAAAACATGTACAATAAGTAAAATCCTCCAGCTCTGGTCCTGACCAAGAGCATCAAGATCTGGAGATGGGTCCCCTGTTACTACAGCGACCACTGCTCCTGACAGAAACTGGGTCAAATGCAGAGGACACATTTCTCTACTGGGATGATGTAGTATAACTTAAGTTAAAAATGCACAAACCATATCGTTAGAAAGTCCTGAATGGATTGAGGAAATTGAGTATAATGTGTTAATGCAAATATGTAAAAATGACACTGCTTCCTGACTCATTGGAGTTGATTTATTTTTATTTTATCTAATGATAAACAATACCCTCTGATGCTAAAGAGGCTTTGATTCACTCAGTTTCACTGTTATTCATTGTAACTGTTTTATGGAAGTATTACAAATGTTTCCGACTGGGTTCGTCTTTGACTAACACCTATAAGTGATGCGTCACTTGTTTTCATGTTGGCCTAATTAAACATAAAAGAGTCCAACTTATACTTGAATATCATCAGTGAATACTGGTGAACACACACACAGAACACTGGCACCCTCTGCTGTTGGCTTTGAGGAACTACAACATGTCACTAACACCCTCCTCTGTGTCCTCAGCCCTCGGAAAAGTGCGGAGTCCTCAACGTCACCAAAATCACAGAGAATGGAAAGAAAGTGCGGTAAGGATGAAGCAGCTTATAAGCCTCGTTTCCACCAGAAACAAAATTAGTACAAAGTTATATGCATATAGAGCAGGATGATAGGTAGATGATTCAAGTAGACAACTCAACTCAATTCAACCATCAACAATGATGTTTATACAGGGGGCAGGATTTGAACCGCCAGCCTTCAGCTTAAAAGTATTTAAAAAAAAACAACGTAAAAACAATAACTATTTTCTTACTTAGTAATATCTGTTTCTCTCTTACTGTTTAGGAATACATTTTTAAAGTATTTTCTATATAGAATTTATATCGTGATATACATTATTATAGTACTCCAACTACCAAAGGTAAAAAAGAGGATTTTGTTATTGGATTAGAGGGATCTTTTTAGGAAACCCTTCTTAAATCATGTTGTGCTGTCGGAGTTGTTCTCCTTCCTTCTTTTTGGTTCAGACGAGTGTGTGACATCACAAACCACACACAAAGACAGTTCCAGATGCTCATTTTGACTTCACCTGCAGGAAGAACTGGGCGTCGTCCTGGACCGTGCTTCAAGGCTCCTCTCTGCTGTTCGCCAAGGGCCAGGGGGGCACCACCAGCTGGGTACGAAACACACACATGGGCACATACACACACACACACACACACACACACACATGGGCAGGAACACAAATAGACCCGCTTGCATACACACATACATGGACACAGACACACAAACATTTCCTGATATAGCTGTTTTATTACAAACAAATCAAAGTGCAGGTGCTCAGTCCATATTTGGACACACTGCTCTTTCCTTTATAAAATGTGTGCAAGTCCTTTGGTGATTCCCTCTCCTCCTGTGACTTCAGAAGATTCTTAAAGTGTCTGTTTTCCTTGTTGTGAAAAACCATCAGGTCTAAACAACCTGTGTCGTCTTGGGTCGACGTCCCATTTCAACACTGTGTTGTCTGAAGGCCTCATTGGACATCCTAATGTGTCCTCGGCCCTGAGCCTCTGTATCCGTGCTGTTCTTATGCTTTCCCTCTCTCCTCCCTCTGTCTCCCTCCTCTCTCTCCCTTCTCCCTCGCTCCCTCCTCCCTCTCTCCCTATCTGTCTCCCTCTCTTTCTGTGTGTGTCAGTCTTACTATCGCAGCAGCTCTCTCCCTGAGCTGCTCCTGTCTCTGCTCAGCTCCTGGAAGCGCTCAGCCAAACCCCGGCCCGCGGTGTCCTATGTGTCCTCTGCTGTACGTGCTGCACTGTGTGTGTCTGTGTGTGTGCGCGTGTGTGTGTGTATGTGCGTGCGAGAGACTGACCCCCTAACGCCTCACTGGGACCTGTGCTGTGGACACTATTCACTAAAACATGTTGGGATAATGTACTGTTATTTACTTCTACAGTGGGGCAAAAAAGTATTTAGTCAGCCACCGATTGTGCAAGTTCTCCCACTTGAAATAATGACAGAGGTCTGTAATTTTCATCATAGATACACTTCAACTGTGAGAGACAGAATGTGAAAAAAAATATCCAGGAATTCATATAGTAGGATTTTTTAAGAATTTATTTGTAAATTATGGTGGAAAATAAGTATTTGGTCACTTCTCTGTCTCTCACAGACCTGTAACTTCTTCTTTAAAGACCTTATGCCGGGTTTGATTTATTTAGAAATACAGTTTTAATACCATTTTATATTAGAAGAGAACTACTAAAGGTTTCAAAATCAGTTGTTTTTTTTGTCTGATCCCCCCAAATCGAATTAACCCCATAGCAACGCCCTTAGAAACGAAAAAACTTCACAGCCCTTGGTGACGTCAGAGTGGGTACGTTTCAACGCTGTAAGTTGTTTACAATTTGGTATTTGTTCTTTTTTCGCGGATATTCAAGATGACAAGGTTGTGTACAGCGAGTGAGATATAACTACTAGATTGTGACACTGCGTTGTCACTGAGATAGTCCAGTGGTTGTGTCGATGCACTGCCAATCCAGATACTGCGGTTCAAATCCCACCTCAGACACTTTTTCACTCTCATTACGGCAATTTATGTGTAGTGAGTAATTGTCACCTGTAGAGTGCAGTATTGTGTTGGGCATCAGTGGAGAGAAGAGAGAAAAGGCAGTCCTGTGGCATAGATCCATGGTTTTCAATGCATGGGCGTTACCCGCTGTGACGTCACACACAGGTTAGAGCATAGACAACTTAAATTCATGAAAAACACGTTCTTTTAATAAAATATAGGATTTTTTTTTTTTTTTAAACCCGGCATAAGGTCTTTAAGAAGCTCTTCTGTCCTCCACTCGTTACCTGTATTAATGGCACCTGTTTGAACTTCCATCCATCCATCCATTTTCTACCTTTTAATCCATTTCTGGGTCAGTCTCATAGCACCAGCCCCTCACTGACCCTCTGCAGGTGGTGAGTCCACAGGAGGACGGCTGCTCTCTGAGTGTGAGCATAGCCTTGATCTTTCAGTGGGGGCTTTGGGCAAAGTGGGGTTAAGTGTCTTGCCCAAGGACACAACGGCAGCAGTCATCAGTGGGAGTCGGTGGAGAAGGTGTAGAGGTGGGAATTGAACCCACGACCTTCAGGCCTGAAGGCCAATGCTCTACCAACTGAGCTACTGTCACCTGTTTGAACTCATTATCTGTATAAAAGACACCTGTCCACAGCCTCAAACAGTCAGACTCCAAACTCCACTATGGCCAAGACCAAAGAGCTGTCGAAGGACACCAGGAAAATAATTGTAGACCTGCACCAGACTGGGAAGAGTGAATCTACAATAGGCAAGCAGCTTGGTGTAAACAAATCAACTGTGGGGCAATTATCAGAAAATGGAAGACATACAAGACCACTGATAATCTCGCTCTATTTCAAGATCTCATCCCGTGGGGTCAAAATGATCGTGAGAACGGTGATCAAATATCCCAGAACCACACGGGGGGACCTGGTGAATGACCTGCAGAGAGCTGGGACCAGAGTAACAAAGGTTACCATCAGTAACACACTACGACGACAGGGAATCAAATCCTGCAGTGCCAGACGTGTCCCCCTGCTGAAGCCAGTGCATGTCCAGGCCCGTCTGAAGTTTGCCAGAGAGCACATGGATGATACAGCAGAGGATTGGGAGAATGTCATGTGGTCAGATGAAACCAAAGTACAACTGTTTGGTATAAACTCAACTCGTCGTGTTTGGAGGAAGAAGAACACCATACCTACTGTGAAGCATGGGGGTGGAAACGTCATGCTTTGGGGCTGTTTTTCTGCTAAGGGGACAGGACGACTGATCCGTGTTAAGGAAAGAATGAATGGGGCCATGTATCGTGAGATTTTGAGCCAAAACCTCCTTCCATCAGTGAGAGCTTTGAAGATGAAACGTGGCTGGGTCTTCCAGCATGACAATGATCCTAAACACACCGCCCGGGCAACGGAGGAGTGGCTCCGTAAGAAGCATTTGAAAGTCCTGGAGTGGCCTAGCCAGTCTCCAGACCTCAACCCCATTGAAAATCTGTGGAGGGAGTTGAAAGTCCGTGTTCACTGCTCTCAAGAAGATCTGCATGGAGGAATGGGCCAAAATACCAGCTACTGTGTGTGCAAACCTGGTAAAGACCTATAGTAATCGTTAGATCTCTGTTATTGCCAACAAAGGTTATATTACAAAGTATTGAGTTGAATTTTTGTTATTGACCAAACACTTATTTTCCACCATAATTTACAAATAAATTCTTTAAAAATCCTACAATGTGAATTCCTGGATATTTTTTTTCACATTCTGCCTCTCACAGTTGAAGTGAACCTATGATGAAAATTACAGACCTCTGTCATTATTTTAAGTGGGAGAACTTGCACAATCGGTGGCTGACTAAATACTTTTTTGCCCCACTGTATAGATAATACAGTCTGTAAATAATCAGGGACACAAATGTCACATTGTTGACTCTCTGCATCTCTAGAATGCTACAAAACTTGGTTTGAATCCCGTTTCAACCCGAAGTCTGCAAGGCATCACCAGTGTCCTCCGATGATCTTTTATGGATCTAATATTTATAACAGTTGATAAAATGATGTTAAACATGTCCAGACTCTCAGGGGTCATGCTGACATTAAACTTTGATTTCCTCTGGGGGCAACAGAAAACATGTTTGTCCTCATGGAGAAAGAACAGGAACTATTCTAAATGCAAGTGGCACACTAGGAGTCATCTCTGCAGCTTTGATCTGATCCTCGTACACGGAAATGAAGGATTAAAGCTGACACTGCAGTTAAAGTCTCTGTTTTACATTTAAAATCCATTCTGCTGAAGTTCAACAGGATTGTGTCAATGTCCCGATATTTATGGACCTGTGTTTGTTCTTAACAAAATACTCATATCCTAATAATCTTACTAATGTGTGGGTTTCAATAACTCTGGTGGTTTGTCTAACTCTGTTTTGTACAGATGTAACATATATTTAAATACAAGTCTGCAGAGAATGTCTTTATTGGTTTTAGTCTTGGGAACAATAATGTACATTTAGTTTTAGTCAGGCCTTTTCACACTGACCAAAACCCACTGTGTTCAGTGGAAACACAATTTGGACAGAAATTAAAATAATCTGTTAGATTACTTGTATCGCCGTGTGTTTAACTTTTCCTCTACCATCGTGAAACTACAAAATAATATAAATGTCACTAGTGTTACAAATATATGGCTAAAAAAACAGGCCATTTTCTGCCCCACATGCAGGCCAAAACTAAAGTGAGCAGTTTGATCTGTGACGTTGCATGTGCTGCTCTTTCCTTTATAAAGTTACCTTCGTAAAAATAAGTTTGAACATGTTTTTATTGCTCCACGTGACGTCTCCCTAAACCACCGGGTCCGAATCCCTGAGTGTGAAAAGGCCTTCAGAGACGTAGATGTGGCTCTGCTCTAACCTCCTCTACCTTCTGCATGTGAGCTCCTTGCATCAGAGGGCACTGGTGTGATCTCTGCCTTTGTTTCAGAAGTTTGGGGGAAACCAGTCCAAGCCCGAGTTCACCGTGGACCTGAGAGGCGCCTCTGTGGAGTGGGCGTCCAAAGACAAGTCCAGCAAGAAGCACGTCATCGAGGTACTCTTCCAACGCCTGCCCCGCACTGGACACGTTTGCACAAGCTCTAACCTCTGTTGGACTGATTTGTTCAAAAAAATTGCTTTTATAACTTAATGAACACAATTATTAAACCAGAGGTGCCCAAACATTTTAGTAAGAGGACCACTTTAGTTCTTCAGGGTTATCCAGGGGCTGAAGTTGGCTGGATGACACTGAGCCGGGGTTGATGATCTCAAAGACGTGACACATAGGGCCGCTATTGGCCCGCAGGCCTCAGTTTGGACATGTCCGTATCAAACAAACAGATGGCCGGCACAGTGGTGCAATACAATACAATACAATACAATTTATTCTCGTATAGCCCTAGGTCACAACAGAAGTCATCTCAGAGGACTTAACAAAACCATTGAAATCACCAACACAGGTCAGAGAATCAACAGTTAAAACACATGAAAAATATAAAGCACACACAGAAGAAAATGTCCATACATGTTGTAGAACGCTAAAGTGTCCTGATCATCACCAATCCTTTCTGTTGGACACTAACTGTCCAACAAGACCCTCCTGCATCCACAAGGAACAACTCTTAAAAAACCCAGTGGGAAAAAGTGAGAAACCTTGGGGAGCACTAGGGAAACCCACAGGGAGGGAGACCCATTTGAGAAAGGGATCCGCTCCTCCGGACGGACAGGCTAATGATCCAGGACCTAAGCTAGCTACAGAACGTGGACCAGTGGCCAGGGCTGGACTGGCCATCGGGCGTACCGGGCAATGCCCGAAGGGCCGATGCCCATATTTGGGCCGGTCTGTCTGCCTCATACAAAAAAACATGTTTGTGAAAAGTGTAAATCCGTTGAGAAATGTTCGAGGGGAGCGCGCGTGTCCGCGGGGCACCTGCTGTATGTACTCGAACGGGATTCCACCACCTCAGCGGCCGCAGTGTTCCCGCATCCAGCGGCTCTGAGCTGGACGCGGGAACCGCTCACAACACAACACGGCGAGCGCGTAGCCAAGACCATAAACGCGCACAGGACCATGCATGTCTTTGCGTAATTTGTGCACCCAATAAATACACCAATGCAGAAAACAGTCCGCGTCTCCCCTCTCCTCTAAATTAAAGCTCGGGTACCTAAATTTTCCATTGCATTAAAAGTTCATGTTTGAGCCCAAAAGTAAAATGTTGTGAACAGATTAAACAGATTTAGAGCCAGCAAATGGCTGACAATACTGTATGCATTTCATAAATGTTTACCAATTCTCATCCCTGTAACAAACAATAGTGTGTCCACCTCCCTCACTCTGAGACATGTTTATTACTCGGTTTAATGTAGACTATTGCTCTTTATTTTATTGTTGAAACTGCAGACATCCTGATCCTCTACAGTATTTGCTTCCACATACTGTATAAACCAGGGGTCGGCAACCTTTATTGCCCCTAAAGTGGCTCCTGGAGCCTTTTCAAAAATGTCTGAAAATGGAGTGTGAGGGCTATATTTTATCTCTAGTTTGAATGTGGTTTCTGTAGGAGGAAAAACATTCTTAACGTTTTTCAATGCTGCAAAAAACTGTCAACGTAGTGCGTCATATCCTGTGACGCGGCCCGTGCCAGGCGGCCGCTGCTGTAAACAAACCGGCGTGTGTGCATTATAGACTGTGTGTGCGCATGGATCCCAAAGATAAAGAGAGAGAGTCGATAAGACTGGACTAAGAATGAGAATGAACATTTGCTTTCAGTCAATGAGGAAGGACTGCTTCATGTTTGCGATGTAATGAAAAGTTGTGTTGCAACAGGAGGAACAATGAAGCTTCAAACACTGTTCACTGAAAGATTCATTCATAGCAATGAACAAACTACAGTCAAAATCCTAAAAATGCTAAACAGATAAAGTAGGAAGGAGGTTAACGCTTGTGCTTCACAGTAAGAAGATCCTGGTTCGATTCCATCTCCAGGCCTTTCTGTGTGGAGTTTGCATTTTCTTCCTGTGTCTGCATAGGTTTCCTCCGCGTGCTCCGGTTTCCCCTACCACTTAAAACATGTATAGTGTTTGTGAGTGCAACTGTGGCACAACACATGCAATTTCAGCTACCAATATAATGTTCATTAACATGCACTGTCCCAATCCAATAAACAATAAAATGACTTTTACTAAGTGCTACAACTGGTGAATATAGCTTGAATTATGGCTAAAAGCAGTTTGTTGTAAGGCTCCCAAATGTTAACTGTTAGCAAGTAAACAAGATGCTGCTACCTTTACTGGAACTGGTTCTACTCTGGGAGATTAAGGTAGAACTTTTCTCATTTCAAAAGTAAAATATTTCAGACAAAATAATGACATAGAAATAAACTACATATGGAAAAAGTCACAAAGTTATGAAAACCAAAAATGCACATACATTTGGTTTGCATTTTCTCGACTAAAGGCCGTCAAATTGACTGCTCTGGGAATTTTAGTGTTAACATCTATAGTAGTTGTGAATGAGGCTCTATATCCTCCCTGATGGTGCAGCTGACCTCTGACCTGTCCCACAGCTGAAGACGCGGCAGGGCACCGAGCTGCTGATCCAGTCCGAGATCGACAGTGTGGTCAGCGAGTGGTTCAGAGCCCTGAGCGACGCCATCAGCACACACGTACGTTACCATGGCTACGCTTCGCAAACATTCTGCTCTGTTTGTGGTCATGTCCAATGTTGATCAAATGAATATTTGCAAAAACAGATAAGTGCCATCAGAAAAACATATTTGAAAGACTTAAAATTATCTCTTTACCAAGTAGTTTTGTAAAAAGCCGGATCTATTTTATAACTCTATGGTCTCTCTCTGGGTCTCTCTCTGGTTCTCTCTCTCTCTCTCTGTGTCTCTCTGTCTCTGTTCTATCTCTGGTCTCTCTCTGGTCTCTCTCTCTGGTCTCTCTCTCCGGTCTCTCTCTGGTCTCTCTCTGGTCTCTCTCTGGTCTCTCTGGTCTCTCTCTGGTCTCTCTCTGGTCTCTCTCTGGTCTCTCTCTGGTCTCTCTCTGGTTTCTCTCTCTGGTCTCTATCCGGTCTATCTCCGGCTCTCTTTGGTCTCTCTCTCCGGCTCTCTTTGGTGTCTCTCTCCGGGTCTCTCCGGTCTCTCTCTGGTCTCTCTTTCTGGTCTCTCTCTCTGGTCTCTCTATCCGGTCTCTCTCCGTTCTCTCTCTGGTCTCTCTCCAAGTCTCTCTCTCTAGGTCTATCACCGGCTCTCTTTGGTCTCTCTCTACGGGTCTCTCTGGTCTCTCTCTTTAGTCTTTCTCTCCGGTCTCTCTCTCTCCGGTCTCTCTCTCTCCGGTCTCTCTCTGGTGTCTCTCTCCGGTCCCAGACAATTGGAGACCTTGACTCGTCCCATTAATTGAAATAGAGTTTCAGGGCACAGCAGGCCGCATGGCAGTGTGAATGGGCCAGTGTGAACCCAGCTCTGCTCTAATGTAAGTGTCTGTGCTGCTGACAGGCGTGGGAGTCTGACGAGGCCATCGAGGAGGACATGCCCGAGTCTCCAGGAGCTGAGAAGCAGGACAAGGAGAAAGAGCAGCGCGAGTCCAAGAAGAACAGAGGTACACACTGACATCCTTCAGCCTTCAGTCCTTAACCATCCAGCGGTACATTGTCTTCTTCATCCTCCTCAGGTCTGGTCCGTTCTAACTCATGAATATGTATGAAAGGCCATATGTTTACAGAATGACCCATTTTTTATCACAAAAAGTGTTTTCATGTCCCCTATGTGTATGGTGGATAGCCACATGGACAACATATATTAGATAAAATAATATTTTGTTACTGACCAAATGACAGACCCAGGTTTGACTGCTCAGCCGATCACTGACTTACAGGGCCATGTTTATTTACTTTCTTTTTCCATAAACAATCATCTATACCAGCCATTCCCAAACTCAGTAACACCGAGGCCCCCTTAAAAATCTGACGGGTCTGCGTGGCCCCCCAAAATAATAACCAAGAAGACAACATTAAGAATAGGCTCTTCTGGTTATTTTATTTTGGGGAAATAGCCTCTGCTACAAACATTGTAATACAAAAATGATTACAGTGGATTATTCAAGTAAAATAATGAACACAAATACTTTAATATTACAAACAAAACATTATAAATTTAACATTAAATAATAATATTATTTTTTTATTTTTTTTATGACCTCCCGCGGCCCCCCTGCAGTACCCTCGCGGCCCACCAGGGGGCCGCGGACCCCACTTTGGGAGACACTGATCTATACAGTCCATATGAAACTCTCCATACAGTAAATACATTTGGATTTCTGTGACATTGTCATCTTCTGTTGATGAAGTCCATGGCTGCTGTGGAGTTTTACAGTTAGTATTGATAGATGCATTGGCAATAATTGAATTCTGCACATTCTTAGTTTTAAAGTGGACATATCGTGTTTTCAAATAATTGATTTTTACATCTAAATCATTAATTTGTGGCCTATATAAAGCGTAACTGCAATGCCTGGGTCTGAGTCTCATTATTTGTAGCTCCACGGGCCTTTCTTCTACACCTGTTCTGAGGTGCGTCTGAGAGCAACCTGTTTTGGTGCTGTCTCTTTAAATGCAAATGAGGCGCTTTTGACCACCCCCCCATCCAGGTGACACAGGTTCAACTCCACCCCGAGCGGCCATTTTTGTAGTTTCTAAGCACAGATACAATTATCTCATAGAAACTTCTCATTACATCGCAAACATGAAGCAGTCCTTCCTCATTGACTGAAAGCAAATGTTAAGTTTCATTCTTAGTCCAGTCTTATTATCGACTCTTCTCTTTTTAGCTTTGGGATCCATGCGCACAGTCTATGATGCTCACACGCCGGTTTGTTTAAAACAGCGGCCACCTGGCGCGGGCCTACGTCGCAGGATATGACGCACTACATTGACAGAAATGTTTAAATTGAATATTACTTATGCACAATTTTACAGCATTTAAAAACGTTTTTCCTTCTACAGAAGGAAAAAGACGCATGCGCCTCCGGAGCCGCAGGTTGCCGACTCCTAGTTTATACAGTATGTGGAAGCAAATACTGTAGAGGATCAGGATATGTGCAGTTTCAACAATAAAATAAAATGCAATAGTCTACATTGCAAGAGAGTAATAAACATGTCTCAGAGTGAGGGAGGTGGACACAGACAACACTATTGTTTGTTACAGGGATGAGAATTGGTCAAAAAAGACTGAAATGCATATTGTCAGCCATTTGCTGGCTCTAAATCTGTTTAATTTGTTTACAACATATTACTTTTGGGCTCAAACATGAACTTTTAATGCAATGCAAAATGTAGGTATCAGAGCTTTATTTAGGGCGTTTAATCGCGCTTCGAGAGGAGAGGGGAGACGCGGACTGTTTCCTGCAGCAGTGTATTTATTGGGTGCACAGATTACTCAAAGACACGCATGGTCCTGTGCGCGTTTATGGGGTTGGGTACATGGCCACGTTGAGGCTGCGCGCTCAGCCACAACACGGTGGAGCGGCTGCGAGCGGCTGGACGCTCACAGCCTCTCGCAGCCGCTGGACGCGGAAGCTGCTCATTACAAAGCGGCCGCAGATGCCTCGGAACACTGCGGCCGCTGAGGTGGCGGAATCCCGTTCAAGTACATACAGCAGGTGCCCCGCGGATACGCGCGCCCCGCTCCAACAATTCTCAACGGATTTACACTTCTCATAAACATGTGTTTTGTATGAGGCAGACAGACCGGCCCAAATATGGGCATCGGCCCTTTGGGCATTGCCCGGTACGCCCGATGGCCAGTCCAGCCCTGTTCGCTGGCATTCTCGAGCTTGGACTACAAATTCGAAGTGATGCACAGTAGAGGAGGGCTGGGCCGAAGTGTTTTGTTAGACGCCCATGCCCTTATATAGCAGTCTCGCTGCAAATACTGTGACGTAATAATTCTAAACACGTAATAGAGAATGGCAAAATCAGAACGGGTTGAAAAATCTTACCTAAACAGAATATGAAGTGTTCTCTGCAACCCATGAAGAGACTGATTTCAACTTTTTAGCACTTCTAGAGGCTCCAACTTCACAACATCAGGCATTTAAGACACAAAAAGTGGATTTTTCATGATATGTACCCTTTAAAATTATGTAGAAGATGTCTTTATTGGGTACAGAGGTTCCTGGTTTATCGCTGGGTTACGTTCTAAAATAACCTGCATCAAGTGAAATCCTTGAAGTTATGTTTTAAGTTTGTAAAACCTTCACACACACTTTACGCATTTTTCTGACCTTTTCACCTGAACTCACGACTGCTGAAGTCCTATCAAGTGCCACAAAATTTTCCTTACTAACTTTAAATTAAGGTAACTTCCATGTTAAACTAGCGGTTATATGATGTTGTTGCAGTATACACGCAGCACAAAAGAAGCACACTGTAAAAACACACACACTCTCAAATTGCGAAAGTGAGGCTGCGAAAGGTGAACAACGTATATTAAATACAATCATATTTTGTCACTGACCAAATGACAGCGGTAAAATAGTGAGGGACTAGAACAAGCTGGTGGATTTTAAAACATTTTATTGTGATATTTCTTCCTACTCGGCTGATTTAATTGGCACACAAATGTAAGATACTGTACACCTCACGTCACTTACAGACTCCAACAGCTTTTCTTCAAACATCATCATGTATTTCTCTTCACACTCCGTCCCATCAACCCCGACATAAAGCTCATGTATGAATACTTTTGCTATTCGCTGTTTCCTGAAGTGTACCGGGCTGTGGCATTAGAGCCTCCATCAGGCCTAACCTTGCTTTTCATGTGCACAGTGATGAAGAGCTCGGTGAGTATGGACGCCTCAGACCAGAAGAAGACCAGGTTGAAGCTCAAGAAGTTCCTGATCCGACGGCCCACGTACCAGGCAGTCCGAGACAAGGGCTACATCAAAGGTAACGGCAAACACTACTGCTGCATTAGTTACCATGGTAACAGTGGTAAATGTCGGCTCCAGTACGGCTTTTCTGATGATGGAAAATACTGCGGCCATAACCAATATAAAGTCATTCTGCCCTATACTATATCATGTGAATTTAGAAAAGAATACAGCCATTTTTATTTTATTTTTATTTTTATCAAATCAAAGCATCAGTCAGACTGGAATAATAAAAACAGAAATGATCCAAGGCATGTATTCTTTCCTTTCTGCCTGGTTCCAAATGACCCACGGCCTGGTGGTTGGGGAACACTGTGTTAGACCCAGTGGGGGCGGGCCCCGGCTCAAAAATGTCCAAAATGACGTGCAAGAATTAGCCAATGCTAATGTATAGCATCTTCTTAACTCTCAAAAACTTCTTTACAGAATTCTTTACTTCTTGATAGTCTTTACAGGATGGTCCAAACGTTGCCCAAAGCAACGTTCCACATTTGTGTCAATGCTGAGGGGAGTGAATTTTGGACCAATCTAGTGCAGTCGCAGTAGAATTTTGAAGGCACTCGTTTAAATGAACAGGGCTCATGCCGGCTGACACATGCGTGCATTTGCCAGCCCCGCGGCCATTTGGAAACTGCTCATAGACAACAAAAGTAGTTTCAACGGGAGAGATAGGAGTCACTACGTCCGTTCATATTTACAGTCTATGGTACCTGGCTGAGCAGATGCATGCGGAGCGATATGGGCAAATGCAAATGGATGAAAAGAGATTGTCGAATAGACTCAATAGAATAGTTGCATCAGAACTTCTTGCTGTAGTCGACCACCACCAGGAAGTGGCTTATGGTGATAGATATATAGATAAAGGCATATTTAGTGAACTGTATATTTTCATACATTGAAAAGGCAGAATTGTCTTTAAACTGTCCTCATCAAAAACCGACCTGGAGTTGTTTTTATTTTCACCCATGCTAATACTGATCAGTACGTATACATTCTCAGTGTGTATAACAGCTTCAGTAGCTGTGTTGTCTCTGTGTGTTGTTGTAATGTCCGTTGTGTTTGCAGACACTGTGTTTGGCTGCAGTCTGAGCTCGCTGTGCCAGAGGGAGAACTCCACCGTGCCCCATTTTGTGCGAATGTGCATCAACCACGTGGAAGACAACGGTAACACACTCTCCTGTTTGTTCTCCTGTTCACCTTTGATACTGCGTCATGCGTTAGGAAGCAACACACAATAATTTTAAAGGAGCAATATGTAAAAATCTGGCTACATCTGGTACTGCAACTTCTCCCACTCTTCCTGACTCAGGTTGCCAGATATGCAGACAAATCCAGCTGGCACCATAATATGTGAATATACTAGAGCTTTGTCAACAACAAATCTATAACCAACACCTTCTTCACAAAGATAGAAATCCTGGTTTTATTCCTTGTTTTGTCATTAATGATTTGAGAATCATAACTAGACCGTTTTTAGTTCTGTGGCCACATGGTACTTTACCAGTGAGATTAGCTTGATGCGGTGAGATTTACGAGCTGTAAAACTAATTTTGAAATTCAAATATCTCAGCTGAACTAATTTTAAAGGAGTATTTGAAAAGACAATGGTTTATGAATGCCTTTTGACAGATTAGGGCCATTTTATGACGACTTGACATGAAAATCTTACATATCTTACATATTGCTACTTTAAAGCTGGGCTAATATGTTGTTGTTGTTGTTGACAACTTCCTGTTAATTGATTGACTGCGGAACCTTCCGCAGTCAACCATTGGTTTTGTATTTCTTTATTCCGTCATTTTTTTTGACACGTTTCACAGCTTTCACATTTTCAACAATTTCCACAAGTTATACATCAAAACGTTCCACATGTTTGGGAGATTATTGCTATTACTTTTGGGACTTCAGCGATTTCCGGTTTTTCCGCAATCGGACAAAAATCTGCATTGAGAATTCTGCAATGCATTTTAATAGGCCCATGCATTTTAATAGGACTTCAGCTCTTTCAGACATTTCTACAGTTTCAATGATTCAACAGTTTCAAGGATTCAACAGTTTCAAGGATTTCAGCAGTTTCAAGATTTCAAGAGTTTCAAGGACTTCAACAGTTTCAAGGACTTCAGCAGTTTCAAGGACTTCAGCAGTTTCAAGGACTTCAGCAGTTTCAAGGACTTCAGTGTAATCATGCAACCTAATAGGGATTTTTCCATGTAAACCAGTATAATGCAACTTAATAGGGATTTTTCCATGTAAACCAGTATAATGCAACTTAATAGGGTTTTTTCCATGTAAACCAGTATAATGCAACTTAATAGGGATTTTTCCATGTAAACCAGTATAATGCAACTTAAAGGTATACAAGAGGATTTTCTACTTCCGGGTGGATCATCAACACTATTGGTCCTCCCAAATGTCAATCATTCTGTTTATACGTCCTTGTCCTATAAGAGCAGAGAGTTTTGTTCAAAAAGTAGAAAGGGCGGTTCTTTCCTAAAATATGGGAAAATCCTCCTTTATACCTTTAATAGGGATTTTTCCATGTAAACCAGTATAATGCAACTTAATAGGGGTTTTTACATGTAAACCAGTATAATGCAACTTAATAGGGTTTTTTCCATGTAAACCAGTATAATGCAACTTAATAGGGTTTTTTCCATGTAAACCAGTATAATGCAACTTAATAGGGTTTTTTCCATGTAAACCAGTACAATGCAACTTAATAGGGATTTTTCCATGTAAACCAGTATAATGCAACTTAATAGGGTTTTTTACATGTAAACCAGTATAATGCAACTTAATGGGGATTTTTCCATGTAAACCAGTATTATGCAACTTAATAGGGATTTTTCCATGTAAACCAGTATAATGCAACTTAATAGGGTTTTTTCATGTAAACCAGTATAATGCAACTTAATAGGGTTTTTTTTCATGTAAACCAGTATAATGCAACTTAATGGGGATTTTTCCATGTAAACCAGTATAATGCAACTTAATAGGGGTTTTTACATGTAAACCAGTATAATGCAACTTAATAGGGTTTTTTCCATGTAAACCAGTATAATGCAACTTAATAGGGTTTTTTCCATGTAAACCAGTATAATGCAACTTAATAGGGTTTTTTCCATGTAAACCAGTACAATGCAACTTAATAGGGATTTTTCCATGTAAACCAGTATAATGCAACTTAATAGGGTTTTTTACATGTAAACCAGTATAATGCAACTTAATGGGGATTTTTCCATGTAAACCAGTATTATGCAACTTAATAGGGATTTTTCCATGTAAACCAGTATAATGCAACTTAATAGGGATTTTTCCTTGTAAACCAGTATAATGCAACTTAATAGGGTTTTTTTCATGTAAACCAGTATAATGCAACTTAATGGGGATTTTTCCATGTAAACCAGTATTATGCAACTTAATAGGGATTTTTCCATGTAAACCAGTATAATGCAACTTAATAGGGTTTTTACATGTAAACCAGTATAATGGAACTTAATAGGGGTTTTTACATGTAAACCAGTATAATGGAACTTAATAGGGGTTTTTACATGTAAACCAGTATAATGCAACTTAATAAGGATTTTTACATGTAAACCACTATAATGTAACCTAATAGGGGTTTTTACATGTAAACCAGTATAAAGCAACTTAATAGGGATTTGTACATGTAAACCAGTATAATGCAACCTAATAGGGATTTTTCCATGTAAACCAGTATAATGCAACTTAATAGAGATTTTTCCATGTAAACCAGTATAATGCAACTTAATAGGGATTTTTCCATGTAAACCAGTATAATGCAACCTAATAGGGATTTTTCCATGTAAACCAGTATAATGCAACCTAATAGGGATTTTTCCATGTAAACCAGTATAATGCAACCTAATAGGTTGCATTATACCACCAGACCAAGACCCAAACGAAGACTCAGACCACCACCAGATAATGACCACAGACCAGGTTTCCTTAGTTACAGGAACCAAATTGTTTCAGCGGTGAGGGGATTTTTCAGTTTCAAGGACACTTTCAATACATTCAGTAGTTTCAAGGATTTCAACTGTTTAAGAATTTAACCAGTTTCAAGGATATCAGGAGGTTCAAGGATTTCAGGAGTTTCCACACTTTCAACAGTTTCCAGGTTTAAAAAAAGTTTCAAGGATTTCAGGAGTTTCAATGTTTCAACAGTTTCAAGGATTTCAGGAGTTTAAAGGTTTCAACAATTTCAAGGACTTCAGGAGTTTCAAATATCTATCAAGTATTTTAACAGTTTCAAGGCCTTTTAAAGGATTTCAAGGATTTTTTTTAGCAGATTTCCACATTAGATCTGTTCCGCAGTCAATCGCAATGGCTTCAGCCATTGCAAGTTTCTAGTTTATTTAAACATCCTCAAGAACACACGCCGTTACTGAGTCCAATCAGAGTAGTGTATTTATTTGAATAAAACAGGTTCATGTCAGATAAAGCCTTTGTTTGGTTTCAGGTCTGGATGTGGACGGTCTGTACAGAGTCAGCGGGAACCTGGCCGTCATCCAGAAACTGCGCTTTGCTGTCAATCACGGTAAGAGGCGGGACTTGCTGTTTCCATGCCCTGTGCCCGGCGCCCTGTTGTGACCTGTGGTGTGTGTTTGTGTGTGTTTGTGCAGATGAGCCGCTGCAGCTGGATGACAGTAAGTGGGAGGACATCCACGTGACGACAGGAGCCCTGAAGATGTTCTTCAGAGAGCTGCCGGAGCCGCTCTTCACCTACAGCTGCTTCAACCACTTCGTCAACGCCATCAGTGAGTGCTGTGACATCACAGGAAGTTGTTTGACACTATACAGCCACAGCTGCCCCACTGTGTTACCCTGCTCCCATCTCTGTGTGGTGTAAAGGGCTTTGTGACTCTGGTCTGTGAAAGGTGCTATATAAAGATACTTACTGTGGCACCTGGTGTTCCCAGAGGTCTCCCTTCACAGTAGTAACCAGGCTCTGTCCTGCTCAGCTTCAGAGGTCTGCCGGCATAAGGCTCTGGTGGTTAGCCTTGCTTCTAAACTCAGACTAAGTTCTGTTTACTGTCATACTGTGTCAGTGTGGAAGTATTAGACTTTTCACATCAAAAGCTCGTACTCTTCTTTGACCTTGATTTATCAGTTGATTTACTATTTAAACCAGTTCTTTTTGAAACCTCAGTATGTTCTGTTTGTGACTTTGTCAAAGTAAAAAGCTCTCTCTCTGTGCAGAGTGTCAGGAGCAGAAGCAGCGGCTTCACTGTATCCGGGATCTGATCCAGAAGCTGCCGAAGCCAAACCACGACACAATGCAGGCGCTCTTCAGCCACCTGCGGAGGTGACGCTCCACACTCCACATCCTCTGTCCAGGATCAAACTGCACCAGCAACATGCACAGTGGCTGAGTGGTTAGCACTCTTGTTTCTTAGCAAGAAGGCCCTGCTTAAAATCCAAGTGTCTAACTGATCTGATCCACGTGTTTACGTTCAGCTCTACTGCATTAGAATCTGTGCCTGGTGCCTCCACACGCGTTATCGTGTCAACAGAATTTTGATCAATAGACCAATCTATAGGCCCAATAGGTCAGAATTTAGTTTACACTTGTGCTTTGTTAACACACTTATTGGAACCCATGCCATATTTGTTACCGTGTTGCCATGGCAATGACAATAAGACTAAATTTTTATAAATGTAAAAATCTTCATCTTATAATTAGCTCACATACAAACTGTATTCAGATGTATGTTTGAACAAACATGTGTTTTAGCCTCAGTCTTTATAATCATACTACATCTTAGTTCCATCAGGTGGAAAGTAAGACAAAGGGCTGCATTAGCGCCTCACAACCAGCAGGGGGTAAAATGTATGGACATAGGTCATCTGGTTTTATGGACCAATGTGTTTTTTTTAACATTGCTTTTCCTGTGTTTGAACTGTTTGATTCTTTGATCTGTGTTGGCGAATCAACGGTTCTTTTTCATCCAGTGCTTCATCCAGGATTCATAGAACCGTAGTTACAGCCGAAACTTTGGTTTTGTAGAGTCATCATGTTGTGATTTAGGGCTATACAAAAACAAAATAAAAATACATTTTAACTTTGTGCTCTCTGACCCCTGTCCCTCTGTGCTCAGGGTGGTGGAGCACGGCGAGTCCAACCGCATGACGACCCAGAGCGTGGCCATCGTCTTCGGCCCCACGCTGCTGCGCCCAGAGACCGAGTCGGGCAACATGGCGGTGCACATGGTCTACCAGAACCAGATCGTGGAACTCATCCTGCTGGAGTACGACAGTGTGTTCGGCAGGTAGAGCTGGGACCCTGCTTCTGGACCACGCCTGGACCATGGACCAAGCCTGGACGCACACTTTGCATTTACCCGTTGCACTTATCGAGGACGTTTGCCATAAGTGTCCATCTCGCACTGGATAAAACACGCAGACTTGGGCCAGCTCTAGCATCCGCCGCTGCTGTTGGAACGGTCCGCTCTCTTTAAAAAACAAAACACTGAGGTTTGAAACATTGTCCATCAGAAGTGTCTTTCACGGAGCTGTTCCAATGGCGACGTCAGCTGCTGCTCGCCTTCTTCCTCCTGTGGCATTTACACTGCAAAAAATGATGAAACATAAGTACAACATTTGAGCACATTCAAATTAAGATTAAAAACCACTCAACTCAAGCAATTATTACCTCATATTTCTTATCATTTTGTGCAGTGTGGGGCAGGAGCCGAGGACCTGTATGTGTATTCTGCCTCTTGTGGACGTTGTGTGTTACTGCAGCGTGGCGTGTGGACTAACTTAGGTTTGCCACGCGCCCTCTCCTGGTGGAGCCGGGTACGAGCTGCGAATGAACTGTGGACGTGGACCGACAACAGTGTTTTTGGAGTTGTGTTATGTATGTCTCGTGAAAGCGGCCGTGGGAAAGTCTCATTGTGTCACTTTTCTGTTCTCACTTGAATCCAAGAGATGTAGAAGCTTTTAAGCTTAAGTTACAGCCTGGAGTCCTGGATCTGTAGCCCCATTTATATGTGCTCCCACTGGGTTTTTAGAGTTGTGGTGATGATCCGGGAAACTCAAAATTCAACATTTATGGACATTGGTTATCTACCCCTTATAGACAAATGCCTCTGCTTTCTAATCATTGCATTTCCTGTGTTGGTATTGAGTCCTCTGAGAATACTACTCCTGTCATTTAGGGCAATACAAAAACAAATTGAATTGAATTGAGCTTCATCTTGGGCTGTACAATTAACCAAAATTTCATACAAGAAGATATGAAGTAAGTGTTCCACCATATATCTCTTGTATTTGTGTACAGCCCTAAAATAGATCGAACTCAACAAACACATAGGAGCATAGGGATTGGGATGATCACTGTCCAGAAATGTTTGTAAATGTCCTTAGGCCCTCCTGCATCGGCAAAGAACCAGTCAAAAGACCCAGTGCGGGAAAAAAGTGAGAACCCTTGGGGAGAAGGACCCTCTCCCACAGACCTCACTCCTGTTGAATCCCTTCGCATTCGTGTTCTCCAGCGAAAAGTGACACAGAGCTCCTTTACATGCGTTTATCAACAGTTAGATAGCAAAACATTTTATTCGCACGTTTGAATTTTTAAGGTTAGTACAAAGAGAAAATGTGATTTAAAAACATACACTTGACAAACGAGCCGATCCTTGCGTTTCCAAAAGATGAAATACTGAGCTAGAACCGGCAGAGAGCTTCGAAACGGGCGGCGGGAACCAGTTTGTGACCACGAAAAGCAATGCTAATAAATTGCTAATTTATAAGCTAATAAAAGGCATACTATGTCATTGTGAAAGGTATGTGCCGATCAGTGTTGAAAAGCAGCCATTGAAAATAGATTTATGATAGGTATGGAAGCCCTGGAGGGTCATCTCTCTCCACAGAGCTGGACTTTGCCACTGCGTCTGTGACTTCTGCTTCGTGAAATGTGTTTGAAACATGAGGAATAAGTTCAAGTCTCTGGTCTTGTTTATGAGTGAAGGAAGGATGGAGCGTGAGACTGACGGGGAGCAGCGTCTGCAGTCAGAGCTGTATTGAACTGTGTTGGTTAGCTCTTGATTTACCTCGGTCTACGTCCCCTCCCTCATCTCTGGTCATGACCGGAAGGATGAGATCGCTCATACAAGCCGTCCATGAGTATCTGGGCGCTCCCTTAGGGTTAGGGTGAGGAGCCAGACACAGGAGGAGCTCGGAGTAGAGCCGCTGCTTCTCCACGTGGTGAGGAGCCAGTTGAGGTGGCTCTGGCGTCTGTTTGGGATGCCTCCTAGACTCCTCTCTGGGGAGGTGTTCAGGGCATGTCCCACCAGGGAGACCAAGGGAAGACCCAGGACATGCTGGAGGGACTGTGTCTCTCAGGTGGACTGGGAATGCCTCAGAATTCCCCCAGATGAGCTGAAGGAGGTGTGCGGGAAATCAGCTGCTCCAGCAACCCGGCTACGGAAAAACGGGAAAAAAGTAGATGGTTGGATGAATTTTTCACGTTGCAGAACAAGCCTGAGGCGGTGGAAAGACGACAGGGGTCCAAAGGTGTTTTGTGCAGAGGTCTGGACTGGGACCACAGCTTGGGACGCCTGTGCTTCAGTGACCTGAATAAAAGTGATGTGAGACTGACTGTGTGTGTGTGAAGTATGTAACAACAGTAACAAGTAAAAACATTTAGTGGAGGCCCCAGAAGCAGACCCCAGCTCTGGCTGTCACAGGATCAGCCTACACTGAAGCAGGTAGAGGGAAGTTTATTTATATAGCACAATTAATGTACACAAGACCACTCAATGTGCTTAACAAAACAAGAACATTTCATATCATGAATAATCACAATAGGCCTCAAACCTATATTTATGTAGTATTCATATTAATATAAAAAATTACTTTGGTATAAGTATTGAAATCCCTCACTTCAGTAACAGTCTAACGGTACAAGCTTCTGTTTGTTCTTCATTATAAAGTATTAAACTGTATACTAAAGTGATATAGGAGGATTTTATACTTCCGGGTGGATCATCAAGACTATTGGTCCTTCTAATTGTCAATCATTCTGGTGATACATGCCAAACATCGTTCAAAAAGTGGAGAGGGTGGTTCTTTCCTAAAATTAGGGAAAAACCCTCGAAGATATAAATATTATATAAAAATATAATACGTAAAGAGAAGGCCCGCCACAGGTTCTGATTGGACTCAATGAATTCAAATCCTTGTTCGACAGCTGAGGCTCCTCCCCATTGGTCTAACAATTCTCCAACAAATCTTGAAGGTTATGTTTTTCCAAGGGGAAGGACTGTTTAAAAAAGTTATGAAAAATGCTTAATTTGATTGATACCAAGAGTCATGTGGTGGTATTCCTATAAACATGAGCTGTCGTTGAAGTTACAGATATCACCACTTGATGAATCCTTATATGAACTCAGGGAGAAACAGCAGCAAATCTGGGCACGTTCAGTTACAGCTGATTTTCTGACCTCATTGATCTGACACCAGAGCAGACGGATAACAGTTGTCAGACACCAGAAAGAGAGAGAAACAAGAGGGAGACAGACCAGAGAGAGAGGGGAGAAAAAACACGCGTTAGATTCTAGTCATCCCAGGTGTTCATCAGGACAGCAGTGAGACGTGTGTTCACTTTGACTCATTCTCGAAACTAGATCAAATACTTCAAATTAGATCAGTAATATGATTATGTATTTATTTTTTTCTCTCTAATGAATCCGAGAACACATCTGCGCGCGAGCGTGTGTGTCATGTCATCTGCCACTAGATGTCGCTGCGCACATACATGTGCGACGGACGCATGACAAACGTATAGATCAATGTGAGACACACTCACATTGATCAATATTAGTTATGAAAGAAGGACTGTACAGCTCACGGATTCTGTGCCTCTGAAGGATTCATTTCTGACAAAAACATAATTTCACTAAATTAACAAAAGTCTGTATCCGCAGCAGGAGAGCCTTTATTCTGTGGGAACTGACTTTCAATTAATCAAAAACCTTTGATACACTTTAGGAAAAAAGTAATAAACAGGTTTTTATGTTGAACGCAGGATTCAAGTTCAGTGCTCACAGTGAGGCTCCTTCTGTAACTGCAGAGTAACTCAGTAACTGAGTAGGTGCAGGACATGGACAGAGGAATATGAGTAAGTGGACACAAAAAGTCCTCGTCCTCCCGAGTCTTTGTTGCTGGTTGTTTGGTTCAGGAGGAACCTCTGTTTTCATATGAACCACAAACTGGAGCAGCAGCATCACAGAGAGGGTCAGAAAGAAGCTGGAACAGGTCATGAGGATGTCCAGCTCCTGAAGCTGCTCTCCAGAGCAGTGCGCTGCGGAGGGCGACAGTCATGGTCCATGGATGTGAACTATTTAGACTTGGCTTCCCACTAACGTCTAAGTGTCTCTTACATAATTTGCTTCTGTGTATTTCTGTGATTGATTAAAGTAATCCACTTCTTTTCTTTTCCTTTTTAAGTTAAAACATCACCAATTGTCTTTGTCACAGTTCTCAAAAAACCCTCCTCATAGAGAACAATCACATGTAAAACTGCAGCAGCTTTTATCAATAAAGTGTTTTATATAAATTCAAACTACCACAAAAGTGTGTCTAATCTACACTTTTCTTTTCACTTTGTTTTGACCAATCAGGTGATATTGGATCATTAACCAGGGCGAGCCACGGCCCACTGGTTGAAAAACACACGCCTAAAGGGTTAATATTTCAACTTCAATAAATATCTTAAAACTTCCTCTTTTTTGATTAGTTGGTCTCAAAATCTTAAATATTTTAATAATAACCAATCTCAACATCACAAATGTAATAACTTGACATATTGTAATAAATATCACAGACAAGGCTCTGAATGAAACTCTTTAATTTAAATAAATAACATCACAAGACACGCCCCCAGCCACAACACACACACAGAGCAGAGAGGAAGTGTCCAAATATGGGCATTCACATGAGTCCGTCTGAGGATCATATTCATGTATTTATGAGAGGATTCTGAATGAAGCTTGGATTAGTTACATAAGCCCCGTTTCCACCATCCCTACTCAGCTATTCGACTCTACGGTACCTGGTTGTGCCGTTCATTACGATTTAGTATCTAGTACCGTATCCTAGCAACCTACCCAAAACAATTCAGTGCCCGGGGAAATTTCTTGGTAACCACGGCTTCCAGCAGCACACTTCAGTACCAGCTGGACAGAACCAGGGCCAAGAGGGAATAAGAAAGACCTGGTGGTTTAATAGGGCCAGTGGAAATACTCTTTCAGTAGAGTAGAGTAGAGTAGAGTAGAGTAGAGTAGAGTAGAGTAGAGTAGAGTAGAGTAGAGTAGAGTAGAGTAGAGTAGAGTAGAGTAGAGTAGAGTAGAGTAGAGTAGAGTAGGTGGAAACGGGGCTAAGTGTTTATGGTCCTGGTCCGTTGATGGTTCGTTAGATAAAGTCTGAACTGAAAGAGACGAGAAACCGACTCTTTACAAGATTCCTGTGGGACGAGGACGAGGATCACGTGATTTTAAATGTATTTTAAAAACCTAATAATGAATCTAAAGTCAGTGTTGTTGTGAAGCAGAATAGTTGAAATGTCTGCTTCAGAATCAAATGAACGCAGCGTGATGGAGTCAGTGCTTTGTCGACATCCACAGAAACATAAACACACATTCATGCCGTTTGTGAAGCTCAAAAACAGATTTAAAGCCAAAAATTAAGACATTTTTCATTGTAACAGAAACACAAACATCTCATTCTTACACTGAAGAGGTTTTCTTTCAAATCTGTTGTATTCGGACAGTTTGCCAAGCGGCCATCTTACGTATGTATTAGCTTACTTTGTTCTACCTCAAACCCACTTCTTGATAAAAGCGCACAATAAACGACAAAATTACATACAATTAAAGTTCAGCATACAAAACATCGGAAAATAAAACATTGTGCGTTTGTTTTGCTTTGCTGCATTTCACTTTGAGATTCACAGAGCTCAAAATATCTCTATAAAAAAAACGCTAAAATATGCCTCTTCTGGCCACATACAGGCAGGCGCATACAGCAGAAGGACCTCACAGTAAGGAGAGCAGCCATTGGTCGAGAAGGATCCATGGGTTGGTTGCAGTCAAACAGAAAAAAAAAATGAATGAATGCTGATGGGACGTAGGGCATGCTGAAGGAAGATCGAGAGAGTATTTACTTTGGCATTTCACGGTTCAGTAGAAAATAGAGTAAACACGGACACCAATGGTTCTCAACTGGAATGGTCTCATCTTTGACACTCGACTTTATCGACATTTATGGACATTGTTCTCCGCTTTTATGGCCCAATGGAGTTATCTGTGTTTTTCTATCATAACATTTCCTGTGTTTGATCCATAGACTGTAAATATATCAGCAGACATATCTATCTCCACCGTTTAAACAATGTAATGTGCCATCACTTTTGGCTTGATGGGGCTTTTTCAAAATGGCCACGGGCAGGAAAATGTGAAAGAAAAAAACGCATTTGCGCATGGGTCAGCCAACATTAGCCCCATTCTTTTAACAAGTGCTTAAAAAGTCCCCTCAGCATTGACACACATGTGGAACGGAGCTTTGGGCCAAGAGCCAACTTTTGGACCATCCTGTAAAGACGTTTTCAAGAGGAAAGACGCCGCCATACAAAAGCATTAGGTAATTCTGTTTCCGGGTACACCCCCACCAGCCCGGGGTGGTATTGCAAGTATGACAGCGCACATGCTCATGGACCTCTTGGAGCTGGGACCCGCCCCCACTGGTTTGAACGGTTTGATTCTCTGATCTGCATTGGGGAATCGACAGTTTTGTGAAGTCCTCCGAGATGGCAACTGTCATGATTTAGGGCGATACAAAAATAAATGGAGTCTACTTCAGGATCTGACATGTGACAATTGTGCGGCATCAAAGTTGAATGTCAGCATGACCCCTGAGTCTGGGGTAATATACCATGTTAACATTTTATTTAAAAAAAACACAGAATCTATTATTTTCATAAACATTTAACCCTAAACGCAATATGCACTGAGCCTTTAGCTTTGGTCCAGTTTTCTTTCAATTCAAGCCTCTGCGCTCATTCTCTCCGTAGAATCTAAAATCTATTCTCATTAAAAGTAGATATTTGGAAAAAGTAAGTAGCTTCGTGAGGCCAGTGTTACTTTTAATCTCAAGTAAATTCTGTTCTTGTCTAGTTTTCAGTGGATTTTGATGTTTTTTGTATAATGCACATTTATTATTACAGTATCACTTTCAGAAATCCAGCGCAATTTTTAATACTACTTTTCTTTGTTAGAGATGTTGGTTCTTGACCCACTATAAAGCTGGTCATGAGCCACCGGTTGAGAACCACTGATGCAGAAATGATCAGGATCAGCAAAACACCCCCATCTAGTGGTAGAAATGTGGGTTGAGAGAGAAAAGAACTCCTCTTTGAGCGTTTGTGTGAGCAGTCTCCTCAGCAGTAGCAGTAGCATCAGCAGAACTGGCATCAGCAGTAGCAGTAGCATCAGCAGAACTGGCATCAGCAGTAGCAGTAGCATCAGCAGAACTGGCATCAGCAGTAGCAGTAGCATTAGCATTAGCATTAGCATTAGCAGTAGAGCGACATGCGGCTGCGCCTCATGGCCTCGCTGATCAGGAAGGCGGGGCTGATCTCTGGCTCCTCCGTCATCACCGTGATGCTCTGCCACTCTCCGCTCTGGTGCGACTTCTTGATGGTGTCCACTACACACAGTGCGTACAGACAGTCTTCAAAGGTGGCCGCCATGGTCAGAGGCCGGCCGTCCCACGTGCGCCGATCCTCCTGGTCCTGGAAGGCCTCGCGTACTGCCTGGATCATCCGTATGGTCCCGATCAGGTACGGCCTCGGGATCGCCCTATGACACATTATTATTATTTTTATTATTATTATCCTCATTATTAATATATACACATGGGATCTCGCTCAAAAAACACTTTGCACTGTCCTAAAGAAAGGAGTGGGGAGGCTGAGGAGAGGAGGTCTGGATTGCTCTATTAACTCCTTTTGCAGATTGAAACGATTGGATCTGAGTTTACCGTCATGTACAGTGTATGTCCCGGGTGAGTGAGCAGCATTTAGCATTTAGCCTAGCTTTAGCCAATAATGGAGCCCGTGGGGAGTAGAGCCACAACATATTTGCAGCAAATTTGGTGCAAACTAGTGAAGTCACCGAACACCCGCCTCCCCCGCTCTCTGATTGGTCTGATGGGATTCAACCGAGGAAACTGCAGCCACTAGGATCAGACCCAGACGCACATGTAGGAAATGATCATGGACCAGAATTTACAGTTGGACCAGGCTAGCACAGAACTTTTCTAGAAATGATTAGAATACAAGTCGAAAAAGTGGGCGGAGTCTTACGTGGGGATGTCGCAGACGGCGTTCTCTGGGAGCGCCGACTTGTCCAGCGGCGTAGAGTCTTTCAGCAGCAGCTCGGGGCCACTGGCGTTCCTCTGCTCGCACTGGTCGCTCCCGGTGGCGTTCTTCTGCCCGTACAGGTCGGTCCCGTTCACCGTGAGTCTCCCGGCGCTGCCCACCACCACCACCTCCTGCCGGAACTCGCCGGGCACGTTAAAGTTCAGCGTGACCGTGCAGCAGGCGCCGCCCTCCAGCGCCATCTGGAAGGTGCAGAAGTCGTCGCTGGTGATCTGCCGGATGCCGCAGATGTGTGGCGTCTGCTTCACGAAGGTCTTGAGGAAGCCGTGCACCTTCAGGGCGCGCTGTCCGGTCAGGAAGCTCAGCAGGTCGATGATGTAGCTGCCCACGCTGTGCAGGCCGCCGCCCCCCATCAGGTCGTCACAGCTCCAGTTGTACTTCTTCCCCAGCAGGCTGCCGCTGTGCACCTGCGGGGGGACACAGGTAAGGAACAGGTACACACAGGTAAGGCACAGGTACACACAGGTAAGGCACAGGTACACACAGGTAAGGAACAAGTACACACAGGTAAGGCACAGGTACACACAGGTAAGGCACAGGTACACACAGGTAAGGCACAGGTACACACAGGTAGACACAGGTACACACAGGTAAGGCACAGGTACACACAGGTAGACACAGGTACACACAGGTAGACACAGGTACACACAGGTAAGGCACAGGTACACACAGGTAAGGCAGAGGTACACACAGGTAAGGCACAGGTACACACAGGTAAGGCAGAGGTACACACAGGTAAGGCACAGGTACACACAGGTAAGGCACAGGTACACACAGGTAAGGCACAGGTACACACAGGTAAGGAACAAGTACACACAGGTAAGGCACAGGTACACACAGGTAAGGCACAGGTACACACAGGTAAGGCACAGGTACACACAGGTAAGGCACAGGTATACACAGGTAAGGCACAGGTACACACAGGTAAGGAACAAGTACACACAGGTAAGGCACAGGTACACACAGGTAAGGCAGAGGTACACACAGGTAAGGCACAGGTACACACAGGTAAGGAACAAGTACACACAGGTAAGGCACAGGTACACACAGGTAAGGCACAGGTACACACAGGTAAGGCACAGGTACACACAGGTAAGGCACAGGTATACACAGGTAAGGCACAGGTACACACAGGTAGACACAGGTACACACAGGTAAGGCACAGGTACACACAGGTAAGGCAGAGGTACACACAGGTAAGGCACAGGTACACACAGGTAAGGCAGAGGTACACACAGGTAAGGCACAGGTACACACAGGTAAGGCACAGGTACACACAGGTAGACACAGGTACACACAGGTAAGGAACAAGTACACAAAGGTAGACACAGGTACACACAGGTAAGGAACAAGTACACAAAGGTAGACACAGGTACACACAGGTAAGGCAGAGGTACACACAGGTAAGGAACAAGTACACAAAGGTAGACACAGGTACACACAGGTAAGGCAGAGGTACACACAGGTAAGGCACAGGTACACACAGGTAAGGAACAAGTACACAGGTAGACACAGGTACACACAGGTAAGGCAGAGGTACACACAGGTAAGGAACAAGTACACACAGGTAAGGCAGAGGTACACACAGGTAAGGCAGAGGTACACACAGGTAAGGCACAGGTACACACAGGTAAGGCACAGGTACACACAGGTAAGGCAAAGGTACACACAGGTAAGGCAGAGGTACACACAGGTAAGGCAGAGGTACACACAGGTAAGGCACAGGTACACACAGGTAAGGCACAGGTACACACAGGTAAGGCACAGGTACACACAGGTAAGGCACAGGTACACACAGGTAAGGCACAGGTACACACAGGTAGACACAGGTACACACAGGTAAGGCACAGGTACACACAGGTAGACACAGGTACACACAGGTAGACACAGGTACACACAGGTAAGGCACAGGTACACACAGGTAAGGCAGAGGTACACACAGGTAAGGCACAGGTACACACAGGTAAGGCAGAGGTACACACAGGTAAGGCACAGGTACACACAGGTAAGGCACAGGTACACACAGGTAAGGCACAGGTACACACAGGTAAGGAACAAGTACACACAGGTAAGGCACAGGTACACACAGGTAAGGCACAGGTACACACAGGTAAGGCACAGGTACACACAGGTAAGGCACAGGTATACACAGGTAAGGCACAGGTACACACAGGTAAGGAACAAGTACACACAGGTAAGGCACAGGTACACACAGGTAAGGCACAGGTACACACAGGTAAGGCACAGGTACACACAGGTAAGGAACAAGTACACACAGGTAAGGCACAGGTACACACAGGTAAGGCACAGGTACACACAGGTAAGGCACAGGTACACACAGGTAAGGCACAGGTATACACAGGTAAGGCACAGGTACACACAGGTAGACACAGGTACACACAGGTAAGGCACAGGTACACACAGGTAAGGCAGAGGTACACACAGGTAAGGCACAGGTACACACAGGTAAGGCAGAGGTACACACAGGTAAGGCACAGGTACACACAGGTAAGGCACAGGTACACACAGGTAGACACAGGTACACACAGGTAAGGAACAAGTACACAAAGGTAGACACAGGTACACACAGGTAAGGAACAAGTACACAAAGGTAGACACAGGTACACACAGGTAAGGCAGAGGTACACACAGGTAAGGAACAAGTACACAAAGGTAGACACAGGTACACACAGGTAAGGCAGAGGTACACACAGGTAAGGCACAGGTACACACAGGTAAGGAACAAGTACACAGGTAGACACAGGTACACACAGGTAAGGCAGAGGTACACACAGGTAAGGAACAAGTACACACAGGTAAGGCAGAGGTACACACAGGTAAGGCAGAGGTACACACAGGTAAGGCACAGGTACACACAGGTAAGGCACAGGTACACACAGGTAAGGCAAAGGTACACACAGGTAAGGCAGAGGTACACACAGGTAAGGCAGAGGTACACACAGGTAAGGCACAGGTACACACAGGTAAGGCACAGGTACACACAGGTAAGGCACAGGTACACACAGGTAAGGCACAGGTACACACAGGTAAGGCACAGGTACACACAGGTAAGGCACAGGTACACACAGGTAGACACAGGTACACACAGGTAAGGCACAGGTACACACAGGTAAGGCACAGGTACACACAGGTAAGGCACAGGTACACACAGGTAAGGCACAGGTACACACAGGTAAGGCACAGGTACACACAGGTAAGGCACAGGTACACACAGGTAAGGCACAGGTACACACAGGTAGACACAGGTACACACAGGTAAGGCACAGGTACACACAGGTAGACACAGGTACACACAGGTAGACACAGGTACACACAGGTAAGGCACAGGTACACACAGGTAAGGCAGAGGTACACACAGGTAAGGCACAGGTACACACAGGTAAGGCAGAGGTACACACAGGTAAGGCACAGGTACACACAGGTAAGGCACAGGTACACACAGGTAGACACAGGTACACACAGGTAAGGAACAAGTACACAAAGGTAGACACAGGTACACACAGGTAAGGAACAAGTACACAAAGGTAGACACAGGTACACACAGGTAAGGCAGAGGTACACACAGGTAAGGAACAAGTACACAAAGGTAGACACAGGTACACACAGGTAAGGCAGAGGTACACACAGGTAAGGCACAGGTACACACAGGTAAGGAACAAGTACACAGGTAGACACAGGTACACACAGGTAAGGCAGAGGTACACACAGGTAAGGAACAAGTACACACAGGTAAGGCAGAGGTACACACAGGTAAGGCAGAGGTACACACAGGTAAGGCACAGGTACACACAGGTAAGGCAAAGGTACACACAGGTAAGGCAGAGGTACACACAGGTAAGGCAAAGGTACACACAGGTAAGGCACAGGTACACACAGGTAAGGCACAGGTACACACAGGTAAGGCACAGGTACACACAGGTAAGGCACAGGTACACACAGGTAAGGCACAGGTACACACAGGTAAGGCAAAGGTACACACAGGTAAGGCACAGGTACACACAGGTAAGGCAAAGGTACACACAGGTAAGGCAGAGGTACACACAGGTAAGGCAGAGGTACACACAGGTAAGGCACAGGTACACACAGGTAAGGCACAGGTACACACAGGTAAGGCACAGGTACACACAGGTAAGGCACAGGTACACACAGGTAAGGCACAGGTACACACAGGTAAGGCACAGGTACACACAGGTAGACACAGGTACACACAGGTAAGGCACAGGTACACACAGGTAAGGCACAGGTACACACAGGTAAGGCACAGGTACACACAGGTAGACACAGGTACACACAGGTAAGGCACAGGTACACACAGGTAAGGCACAGGTACACACAGGTAAGGCACAGGTACACACAGGTAAGGCACAGGTACACACAGGTAAGGCACAGGTACACACAGGTAAGGCACAGGTACACACAGGTAAGGCACAGGTACACACAGGTAAGGCACAGGTACACACAGGTAAGGCACAGGTACACACAGGTAAGGCACAGGTACACACAGGTAAGGCACAGGTACACACAGGTAAGGCACAGGTACACACAGGTAAGGCACAGGTACACACAGGTAGACACAGGTACACACAGGTACACACAGGTAAGGCACAGGTACATACAGGTAAGGCACAGGTACACACAGGTAGACACAGGTACACACAGGTAGACACAGGTACACACAGGTAAGGCAGAGGTACACACAGGTAAGGCACAGGTACACACAGGTAAGGCACAGGTACACACAGGTAAGGCACAGGTACACACAGGTAAGGCACAGGTACACACAGGTAAGGCACAGGTACACACAGGTAGACACAGGTACACACAGGTAAGGAACAAGTACACAAAGGTAGACACAGGTACACACAGGTAAGGAACAAGTACACAAAGGTAGACACAGGTACACACAGGTAAGGCAGAGGTACACACAGGTAAGGAACAAGTACACAAAGGTAGACACAGGTACACACAGGTAAGGCAGAGGTACACACAGGTAAGGCACAGGTACACACAGGTAAGGAACAAGTACACACAGGTAGACACAGGTACACACAGGTAAGGCAGAGGTACACACAGGTAAGGCAGAGGTACACACAGGTAAGGAACAAGTACACACAGGTAAGGCAGAGGTACACACAGGTAAGGCAGAGGTACACACAGGTAAGGCACAGGTACACACAGGTAAGGCAAAGGTACACACAGGTAAGGCAGAGGTACACACAGGTAAGGCAAAGGTACACACAGGTAAGGCAAAGGTACACACAGGTAAGGCACAGGTACACACAGGTAAGGCACAGGTACACACAGGTAAGGCACAGGTACACACAGGTAAGGCACAGGTACACACAGGTAAGGCACAGGTACACACAGGTAAGGCACAGGTACACACAGGTAGACACAGGTACACACAGGTAGACACAGGTACACACAGGTAAGGCACAGGTACACACAGGTAAGGCAGAGGTACACACAGGTAAGGCACAGGTACACACAGGTAAGGCAGAGGTACACACAGGTAAGGCACAGGTACACACAGGTAAGGCACAGGTACACACAGGTAGACACAGGTACACACAGGTAAGGAACAAGTACACAAAGGTAGACACAGGTACACACAGGTAAGGAACAAGTACACAAAGGTAGACACAGGTACACACAGGTAAGGCAGAGGTACACACAGGTAAGGAACAAGTACACAAAGGTAGACACAGGTACACACAGGTAAGGCAGAGGTACACACAGGTAAGGCACAGGTACACACAGGTAAGGAACAAGTACACACAGGTAGACACAGGTACACACAGGTAAGGCAGAGGTACACACAGGTAAGGAACAAGTACACACAGGTAAGGCAGAGGTACACACAGGTAAGGCAGAGGTACACACAGGTAAGGCACAGGTACACACAGGTAAGGCAAAGGTACACACAGGTAAGGCAAAGGTACACACAGATACGCCTGGGAGCCTCCTCAGTCCTGCATTGCGTGTCCTCTGTCCTCGTTCTACAGTCTGAGTCTTGGATCTACAGCGGATCCTTCTCCAAGCCCTCTGAGATAACTATTGTTGTGATATAGGGATATCCAACAGAAACAGTAACAGTAACAGTTGTCTAACTTCTGGAGACAAAAGCAGGAGAAGAATCTTTGAAATACTGTATATACTGTACTCTACACACTGACATCCTGAGTAGGTCTTTGATTGAATCCTCCCAGGGTCTGTCATGTAAAAGTGTGATAACAAGTGATGAAGATCCAGTCCCATGAGTAGTGTTTGAAGCCCCTTTAAGTCCTGGGTGTCAAAGTCAAGGCCCGGGGGCAGGATCCGGCTCGCGAATGGATTATCTAGGCCCCCGGGATGATTTACAGAGCCATAAGAAAATTTTGGATTATTCACTTAATGTTCAGGACATGTGTTTTCTTTTTGAGGGAAGTTTTTTTTTGTCTTTGAGCTGTTTAAAAATGTTTTGACTTGAAATTACCGTCAGAGCCAAACAAAAATACTGGATTATTCATTTAATCATTAAATTGAAATACGGTACACTGTGTTAGGTTCAATAGGTTATATAGCCTGGTCGTACCACACCATAGTACAAATGACATTTCATACTAAGGTCTATTGTTGCTCCATTGAGCTCCGTTTACAGGTGGGAGGGGTGAACTCCTTTTACAGATTGAAACGATTGGATCTGAGTTTACCGTGACGTATGTAGTGCGCCTGAGTGTGTTGTTAGCATTTAGCATTTAGCCTAGCCATCTCCTTTGCTGCTAACGGAGCCCGTGGGGAGTAGCGCCACAATTTTTTCAAGCGATTACATTTGCTAAACGCTACTCTTGCTCCGGCTTCAATTTCTTGATAGAACCAGACCAGAATACTTTACTATCGTATTTTTCGCCAAACTACAACCTGCCCGTTCGGCGCAAACTCTTGACGTCCCCCACAACTAACTACAACACCAGCCTTCCGCACTCGCTGAATGGTCGGTCGAAATTCAACCGATTGTAATCGCTAACACAGGGACTAGACCCAGACGTTACATGCAGGAAATGATGATTGAACAGAGTGTACCGATGGCTAAGGCCAGGCTATAGGTATGAACAATAGAAGGCCATGGTCTATATAGTAGTACAAAAACAAGATAAAATAGAAGTACAAGACACACAATGTTCTTTGATTGTATATCTGCTACGATTGTGTATCCGTTGTTTTAGCTGACTGACGCCTGGGTTTGGCTCTTTCATGATGACGCAAATTCCAATATATAATGTTTCCCTGTTTATTGTTCTGCCTGAATCTACCGCCTGTTGTGAATAAACTTACAGGTTGCTCTGGTGTGCAAAGATCCCTGCCTATGCGTCTGATTTTCGACATAGGTTATATGCATCATTTTAATATGTTTTAATTGAACCAGTCCGGCAATGGGCTTGTAGAAAATATATTTTTGGCCTTTGATGTATTTGACTTCCCTGGTATAAATGCGTTGCTTGTAGATTTCTCCAGACTCAGCTCATAGCACGCAGATCTGAGTTGTTGTCGTGTCTCAGTAAACTTCATTCTACAAGAAACATGTGGTCCACCATATTCCTCCCATCGACACAAAACTCGTGACTACACACACTATACTCTGTGGTCCCTCCTCTTTCCATATTGAACATTTCAGTCCTTCAGATAATGCCCTCTCTCTCTCTCTGGTTGAAAAAGTAGATCCGAGCCGCCTCACCCACCTGGGCCTCGCACACCAGCAGCTCTCCCACGTATCCCTCCTCCAGCAGTTCTTTCATGCGCACAAAGGCGGGCAGGAAGCGCAGCACGTTACCCATGATGCTCAGCAGTTTGGGGTAATACTGCGCCGCCGACATCATGCGGAAGGCGTCCAGAGGCGTGGCGGTGCGGTCGCAGATCACGTTCTTCCCAATTCCTGCGGAGAGACGGGAGGTCAGGACACAGGTCAGGACCATGGACTGTAAATATTAACGGATGTAGTTGAACCGTTGAAACTAATGTGCCATTACTTTTGGCTTCAATGAGGCTTTTTCAAAATGGTCGCGGGAAGCTATTCCTGGAGGAAACTGAAAAAACAGATTTGTATTCAGCCCTATTCATTTAACAAGTGCTGAAGTCCACAGCGGCTAAACTAGACTGGTCCAAAAAATATACCTCCCCACTGCATTGACAGCATCTGGATCGTAGCTTTGGGCCAAGAGCGACTTTTGAAACATCCTGTAAAGCATTTTTTAAGAGGAAAGAAGACCCCACACAAAAGCATTGGATAATTATCCAGTTAAGAAAAAGAAGAAAAAGAAGAAAAGGCAGAAAACTGCTCTGGTCTCGGGTCGTCATAGGGATGTCATAGTGATGTCATAGTGGGACAATGACGTCATACTATTACAGGACTGAGAGAGTGCGGGTGTGGAGCCGCTTTATTCAATTCACTTCAATTCATTGTATTTGTGGACAGTTTTAACACACGGAAAACAATAATAACAAACACATAGACACATAGAACCCTGACCCCACTGTTCAGAAATGTGAATAAATATCCCGGATCATCACAGTCCTTAGACCCTTCTGCATCGGCAACAAACCACTCAAAGAAAAACCTGTGTGGTTTTGGGCCAGAGCGGACCACAGTAACTGAAGCCAGTGTAGTTCACAAAACCACAACACGATCTAAATCCAACCTGCACCAAAGTCAGAGTCAGTTTACGGCCAGGATTAGACATAAGTTACACGTTTGTGCCATAAGTTCCTGGTATTAGCATGGATGGATCTAAAAAAAAAAAAAAAACCCAGGTCTGTTTGTGATCAGGAACAATGTTGTGACGAGATGAAAAGTTCCAGAAGTAGGTTTGTACAACATGTCTCCTGTAAAATAGTTAGAGTTGTTTTCACGATTAGTATTTCACAGGAGAGTCCTCTGCAAAGAAACACTGGCATTCACATTCAAGTCGACCATTTTAAACACCCCCCACCAGACACACACACACACACAGGCAAACACACACACACACACACACCCCTGTTTGTTTGTGAAGTGAAACGTATGCTAATGGCTATTAACTGCAACCAGAGAGGAAAGAAATCCTACTGACCCAGATCTAAGAGGGAGCCCCCAACACAGCCCCACCCCTGGCACACACACACACACACACACACACAGCTGGGGGTCTGAATGTTTCGGCATCACAATGACACACACAGGATTTTAGACTTTTGTGAAGCAGTTCCTGTTGAAACGAAAGGAAAGACACGCTCAGACTTGGACTCAGGACTTGGCCGCGTCCCAAACTACTCCGACCAGTCCTTTCTCTGATCTAAAAGTCAAATCCAAACCGAGCTGAACAGGGAAAGGACACCAAGAGTAGCAGTACCTCCCATTTTTTCTCAGACAAAAAAGCAAATCTAAAGATGTGACAAAGGCCCAACAAGCGTCCGAGTGAAAACTAGAGCAGACTCTGAGCTGCATATTTTCTGTTTTACTGCTAAAACATGATTACCTGAAGCACTGTAGGTATTTGTTCTGACCACATTGTTATCTATATCTATATATATCTATATCTTAAGCATCGGCGTCACAAATTATGTAAAAATCTTTGTCTCCTTTTGTTCGATCTGGAAGGACTCGGAAATAAAGCGGGTACAGGTGCGACTGCTGCTGCCTCCGTCTTCATTTCTCAACACTAGTTATTATTAGAGCTACATTTTTTGCGGTTTGAAATGTATGCACCCCAGCTTTATTATCTCATCTACGGTATGTAGATTTGGTTTTCACACTAGTTGGAGCTGCGTCACTCACTCTCTGTATCATTTTGACTTTAACGCAATGGACCAAAACTAGGAAAAATGTGTATTCTTCCCTTATCTAAGACCAGAGAGACGTCACGGTCGGAGGATTTGTCAGAGAGTTAGTTTGTGTTTTTGTGTGCGTGGGCCGAGGCTGATGTCCCTACAGTTTTGGCCTTTTGCGGTAGATGGCGATTTTAGCGAACTCAAACTGACTTTTTGAGCTGGAATGTGGAGCCAAATGTCTGCAAATTTGTGGGTAGCAACAACCGAGCAACCGAGAGCCAATCAGGAGTGAGGTCATGGCACGGTTTGATCGAAGGCGCACGGTTGTGAAGAATCTCATTTGAATCAAAAAATTCCTCAAAGCATAGAATGAGAAAGCAGTGTTTTGACATTTTTTACTTTTATGAGGTTATTCCACTGCCCCTGACTGCCTCGCGCTGCCGTGCCATTTTGATTTGCCTTTCAACCAACCTTTCGACCCGTTTTATTCAATAGGTATTAAACAAAACATTCTTTAGGACCATCTCTGATCAATTAAATAATCCAAAAGTTCAAGAACACTGGAAACATTGAAGAAAGGAGGAAAATCCGAAGCACTCTGGACAAAAAGATATAAATCCTTTAATGTACAGGGATTTGGAAATATTAAAATCTGTTCATTTAAGGATTTTTGAAATTATTGTCTAGAGTGTCTCCAATTTTTCTCCTTTCTTCAATGAAATAGTCCAGTTTAATCTTTAAATTAACTTCTTACATTTATCAAAAACATGCCATTTGGTGATGAATAAATCATTCTGTTTGGCACATGCTTTTATATCTATACATATACAGATATAAAAGCACTTATTCTCTGCCTCTCCCGCCCATAGGAGGGTTGGGGACTATATTAGTAAAATGAATGTAGAAATCATAACTGAGAGCTTCATATCTTTTTTCCTGGGCCACGAATACCTCTGCTCTATATTTGAACATCTCTGAACTCGGGCATTCATTCGCCACATCTTTCCTCAGCGGCAGCAGCAGAGCCCTCCCCTCCTCAGCCTCTCCATCTCCACTCACATCAGACCCGAGAGGAGGTTCCTTTCCCCAAACAGATGCATGCGAGCAGACAGGGACCCGTCTCCACGAACATAAAGAACGTCTTTGTCAGACTGAGGAGCCGGGAGCCGGGAGGAGGTGACGGGGGAATGTTAACGAGACGCACAAGGCGACCGGTTAGAGACAACTGGAACCAGATAATCATCAGCATGTGACGAAGGCTCCGTGAGCCTGTGGGCACGGGACAGACGGCGAGGAGACAACGAGGCCGAGAGTGGGGAGACCAGAGAGAGAGACAGAGGGTGTGGAGAGACCAGAGAGAGAGACAGAGGGTGTGGAGACCAGAGAGAGAGACAGAGGGTGTGGAGAGACCAGAGAGAGACAGAGGGTGTGGAGACCAGAGAGAGAGACAGAGGGTGTGGAGAGACCAGAGAGAGACAGAGGGTGTGGAGAGACCAGAGAGAGAGACAGAGGGTGTGGAGAGACAAGAGAGAGAGACAGAGGGTGTGGAGACCAGAGAGAGAGACAGAGGGTGTGGAGAGACCAGAGAGAGAGACAGAGGGTGTGGAGAGACAAGAGAGAGAGACAGAGGGTGTGGAGAGACAAGAGAGAGAGACAGAGGGTGTGGAGAGACCAGAGAGAGAGACAGAGGGTGTGGAGAGACCAGAGAGAGAGACAGAGGGTGTGGAGAGACAAGAGAGAGAGACAGAGGGTGTGGAGACCAGAGAGAGAGAGAGGAGGGTGTGGAGAGACAGAGAGAGAGACAGAGGGTGTGGAGACCAGAGAGAGAGAGACAGAGGGTGTGGAGAGACCAGAGAGAGAGAGACAGAGGGTGTGGAGAGACCAGAGAGAGAGACAGAGGGTGTGAGAGACCAGAGAGAGAGAGACAGAGGGTGTGGAGAGACCAGAGAGAGAGACAGAGGGTGTGGAGACCAGAGAGAGAGACAGAGGGTGTGGAGAGACCAGAGAGAGAGACAGAGGGTGTGGAGAGACCAGAGAGAGAGAGACAGAGGGTGTGGAGAGACCAGAGAGAGAGACAGAGGGTGTGGAGACCAGAGAGAGAGAGAGACAGAGGGTGTGGAGACCAGAGAGAGAGAGACAGAGGGTGTAGAGACCAGAGAGAGAGAGACAGAGGGTGTGGAGAGACCAGAGAGAGAGACAGAGGGTGTGGAGAGACCAGAGAGAGAGACAGAGGGTGTGGAGAGACCAGAGAGAGAGACAGAGGGTGTGGAGAGACCAGAGAGAGAGACAGAGGGTGTGGAGACCAGAGAGAGAGAGACAGAGGGTGTGGAGACCAGAGAGAGAGAGACAGAGGGTGTGGAGACCAGAGAGAGAGAGACAGAGGGTGTGGAGAGACCAGAGAGAGAGACAGAGGGTGTGTGGAGACCAGAGAGAGAGACAGAGGGTGTGGAGAGACCAGAGAGAGAGACAGAGGGTGTGGAGACAGAGAGAGAGAGACAGAGGGTGTGGAGACCAGAGAGAGAGAGACAGAGGGTGTGGAGAGACCAGAGAGAGAGACAGAGGGTGTGGAGAGACCAGAGAGAGAGAGACAGAGGGTGTGGAGACCAGAGAGAGAGAGACAGAGGGTGTGGAGAGACCAGAGAGAGAGAGACAGAGGGTGTGGAGAGACCAGAGAGAGAGACAGAGGGTGTGGAGAGACCAGAGAGAGAGACAGAGGGTGTGGAGACCAGAGAGAGAGAGACAGAGGGTGTGGAGACCAGAGAGAGAGAGACAGAGGGTGTGGAGAGACCAGAGAGAGAGACAGAGGGTGTGGAGACCAGAGAGAGAGAGACAGAGGGTGTGGAGACCAGAGAGAGAGACAGAGGGTGTGGAGACCAGAGAGAGAGACAGAGGGTGTGGAGACCAGAGAGAGAGAGACAGAGGGTGTGGAGAGACCAGAGAGAGAGACAGAGGGTGTGGAGAGACCAGAGAGAGAGACAGAGGGTGTGGAGAGACCAGAGAGAGAGACAGAGGGTGTGGAGAGACAAGAGAGAGAGACAGAGGGTGTGGAGAGACCAGAGAGAGAGACAGAGGGTGTGGAGACCAGAGAGAGAGACAGAGGGTGTGGAGAGAGACCAGAGAGAGACAGAGGGTGTGGAGACCAGAGAGAGAGACAGAGGGTGTGGAGAGACCAGAGAGAGACAGAGGGTGTGGAGACCAGAGAGAGAGACAGAGGGTGTGGAGAGACCAGAGAGAGACAGAGGGTGTGGAGAGACCAGAGAGAGAGACAGAGGGTGTGGAGAGACAGAGAGAGAGAGACAGAGGGTGTGGAGAGACCAGAGAGAGAGACAGAGGGTGTGGAGAGACCAGAGAGAGAGACAGAGGGTGTGGAGAGACCAGAGAGAGAGACAGAGGGTGTGGAGAGACCAGAGAGAGAGAGACAGAGGGTGTGGAGAGACCAGAGAGAGAGACAGAGGGTGTGGAGACCAGAGAGAGAGAGACAGAGGGTGTGGAGAGACCAGAGAGAGAGACAGAGGGTGTGGAGAGACCAGAGAGAGAGACAGAGGGTGTGGAGAGACAAGAGAGAGAGACAGAGGGTGTGGAGACCAGAGAGAGAGACAGAGGGTGTGGAGAGACCAGAGAGAGAGACAGAGGGTGTGGAGAGACAAGAGAGAGAGACAGAGGGTGTGGAGAGACCAGAGAGAGAGACAGAGGGTGTGGAGAGACCAGAGAGAGAGACAGAGGGTGTGGAGAGACAAGAGAGAGAGAGACAGAGGGTGTGGAGACCAGAGAGAGAGAGACAGAGGGTGTGGAGAGACCAGAGAGAGAGACAGAGGGTGTGGAGAGACCAGAGAGAGAGAGACAGAGGGTGTGGAGAGACCAGAGAGAGAGACAGAGGGTGTGGAGAGACCAGAGAGAGAGAGACAGAGGGTGTGGAGAGACCAGAGAGAGAGAGACAGAGGGTGTGGAGAGACCAGAGAGAGAGACAGAGGGTGTAGAGACCAGAGAGAGAGAGACAGAGGGTGTGGAGAGACCAGAGAGAGAGACAGAGGGTGTGGAGACCAGAGAGAGAGACAGAGGGTGTGGAGAGACCAGAGAGAGAGACAGAGGGTGTGGAGAGACCAGAGAGAGAGAGACAGAGGGTGTGGAGAGACCAGAGAGAGAGACAGAGGGTGTGGAGACCAGAGAGAGAGAGACAGAGGGTGTGGAGACCAGAGAGAGAGAGACAGAGGGTGTAGAGACCAGAGAGAGAGAGACAGAGGGTGTGGAGAGACCAGAGAGAGAGACAGAGGGTGTGGAGACCAGAGAGAGAGACAGAGGGTGTGGAGAGACCAGAGAGAGAGACAGAGGGTGTGGAGAGACCAGAGAGAGAGACAGAGGGTGTGGAGACCAGAGAGAGAGAGACAGAGGGTGTGGAGACCAGAGAGAGAGAGACAGAGGGTGTGGAGAGACCAGAGAGAGAGACAGAGGGTGTGGAGACCAGAGAGAGAGACAGAGGGTGTGGAGAGACCAGAGAGAGAGACAGAGGGTGTGGAGACCAGAGAGAGAGAGACAGAGGGTGTGGAGAGACCAGAGAGAGAGACAGAGGGTGTGGAGAGACCAGAGAGAGAGAGAGACAGAGGGTGTGGAGACCAGAGAGAGAGAGACAGAGGGTGTGGAGAGACCAGAGAGAGAGAGACAGAGGGTGTGGAGAGACCAGAGAGAGAGACAGAGGGTGTGGAGACCAGAGAGAGAGACAGAGGGTGTGGAGAGACCAGAGAGAGAGACAGAGGGTGTGGAGACCAGAGAGAGAGAGACAGAGGGTGTGGAGACCAGAGAGAGAGAGACAGAGGGTGTGGAGAGACCAGAGAGAGAGACAGAGGGTGTGGAGACCAGAGAGAGAGAGACAGAGGGTGTGGAGACCAGAGAGAGAGACAGAGGGTGTGGAGACCAGAGAGAGAGACAGAGGGTGTGGAGACCAGAGAGAGAGAGACAGAGGGTGTGGAGAGACCAGAGAGAGAGACAGAGGGTGTGGAGAGACCAGAGAGAGAGACAGAGGGTGTGGAGAGACCAGAGAGAGAGAGAGACAGAGGGTGTGGAGAGACCAGAGAGAGAGAGAGACAGAGGGTGTGGAGAGAGAGAGACAGAGAGAGACCAGAGAGAGAGACAGGTTCAAGGACCTGTTGGAGGAGACAGAGGAGAGGGGAGAAAAAAAAAAGAGAGGGTCCTCCCCTCTCAGGCAAAATGGACGTTGGGAGAGAAGAGCTTTCCACTAATTTTCAAACTAAGTTGCTTTAAAGAAGTGAGATATTATGCATGATTTTTGGCTGGAGGAAAGCACAAAGCATTTTAACTTAAAAAATGAGTGTTGGTGTCTGTGTGTGGTAGAATGTGACATTATAATCAGGGCAAGTGTACACCAGAAGCTAAGGTTAATAAGGGGTATGGCATGCACTAACCCTCAAATTCCGACCACCAGGGGGAGCAGTAGAATCTCTTTTGTTTTTTTTTCCCAAGATTTGAAAATAACAACAGCAGACATGGTCTTGTAAAGAATGTAAGTTTAACTGGAGAAATTTAACTAAACTCATTCAGGGGTCAAATGTCACAGTGCGCAATGACATCATACTATCACAGGACTGAGGCTGCTTTCAGGCGAGCTCGGAAACTCAGATATCTATGAACACACACACACACATACATAAACACACACACGTCACCCACACTCATACATAAACATCACACCGTTCACAATACCACACACACACGAACATACATAAACACACACGTTCCTTAAAGCACACACACACACATAACAGAATACACACACACACACACGGACACACACACATACAAAAACCACAGCACGTTCATAGAACAACACACAACAGGCACATCACATAAACACACACGTGCATAAACACACACACACACATACATAGAATCACACACACACAAACATACAGAAACACACGCGTAAAACACACACCAAAAGACAAGACCAAATATAGGTCGTTCCCTTGATAATAATAAAGTGCTTGCTTACCAAAGCAAGGCCCTCGTGAGATATGTTTGGTTCCATAAATGTCACTAATATAATAATGTCTAAATTGATCTCATCATCAGATTTCCCAAGCGTTGAGCAGGGTATCCGGGGAGACAAACAATAGTTTTCCGACGATTGGCAGTGGAAGCAGCAGTCGGGACAACACGCTAGTGCCCAGAAGTTCCCTGATGATTTTGAGCACAATACACCGTGTCCTTAAAGACCTCGCACTGTGGCGGCTCCGCAGACGGCACCAAACAGCACGTTGTAGCATGTGCTTCGCAAGGAATCACAAAGCCCAGCAGGGTTTTAGGCCATCACTGTAGTGTGAGCCCCAACTAGGCCAGAAGACCAGAGGAGAGAGAGAGGAGAGTCCAGAGAGAGAGACCAGAGAGAGAGAGAGGCCAGAGAGAGACCGAGAGATAGAGAGCAGAGAGAGACGCACGAGAGAGAGAGAGCCAGAGAGAGAGACCAGAGAGAGAGACCAGAGAGAGAGAAACCCCAGGAAGAAGGAGGCAGGAGAGACCTGAACGGCGACAAACAGAGAGGGAGACCAGAGAAGAGAGAGAGACCAGAGAGAGAGAGACCAGAGAGAGAGTACCACTAGAGAGGGAGGACCAGAGAGAGGACCACAGAGACCAACAGAGAGGGAGACCAGCAGAGAGAGAGACCAGAGAGAGAAGACCCAGAGAGAAGGACCAGCCGAGAGGGAGAACCGAGAGAGAGAGACCAGAGAGAAAGAGACCAGAGAAAAGAGACCACAGAAGAGAGAGAACCTTAAGAGAGAGAGAGACCAGAGAAAGAGACCAGAGAGAGAGACCCAGAGAGAGAGGACCCACAGAGAGGGAGAACCAAAGAGAGAGAGAGACCACGGAGAGAGAGAGAGAGTCCCACAGAGAGAGACTAACAAGAGAGAGAGACAACCACCGGACGGGAAGAGAGGGAAGACCAAAAGAGAGACTACCAGAGAGAAAGAACAACCAGAGAAGAGACCGAAGAGAGACCGAGAGGAGCGGAAGACACAGAGAGAGTACAGCAGAGAGAGATCCAGAGAGAGAGGCCCCGGAGAGAGACCAAGAGAGACCAGAGAGAGACCGAGAAGAGGGGGGAGCCTAGAGAGAGACCATGAGAAAGGGGCTAGAATCCACCAGGAGTATTATTCTCTTATTTGGTCATTCAACTTTTTACACATGGGCGCCTGGTGGCCGGGAGGAGTCCGAGTGATGAGAACAAGGGCCCTAAAGGTTTTAAATGGAGAGTGGGGTATGAACATAGGCCGTGGGAGGTTAAAAAGTCGGATCTACGGAGTGTTAGAGCAAGCTGTCCGGGATTGGGCCAAACAACTGCAGAGTTATAGAGATAGCAAAGACATTCATCACAAAAATATTTATGGTTCAAGCAAATTATGAGTGGCAACTTTGCATCAGAAACAACAACAACAAACACAGAAGAAGATTAGAAAAGTCACATGTGGCAGGATCACCAAGAGTACGGTGTCGGTAGCGGCCCCCCCAACTTGGCAAAATCTGGTTACAAGGTTTAGTTTAAAAAGCTAAAAATGAAGATTATTAAACTCAGCTGAAGGCAGACCGGCGGCCATCGGGGCTGGAAATTTGTGAATCCGTAAAAACAACGTCAAGTGGCTTGAAGCGATAATGGCATTCACTTTAAATGAGGAGAGATTCTGTTGGATTTTTTATGAGTAAAATCTGACAGAGCTCTGACTGCAACCTGCCTTCTCCCCTAGTCTAACTTAAAAACCTGAACTAATAACACTCCCCCAGCGATGGCTCCTGTGTGGCTGCAGAGTAAGTTTAATGCCACTCTGTGCTAGCCTCTGGACCATTGATCTTTTCCTACAAGTACGACTGGGTCTGATCCTAGTGGCTGCATTTCCCTCGTTGAAATCCCCCTGTCGGGACCAGATCAGAAGCGGGGGAGGCGGTGGTTGTAGGGAGGGTCGTGGATGGTTCAGGAGGCGGGAGAGTTTCGGAGACCGGAATTTGGTAGGTTGTAGGTTTGGGGGCGGAGAAACGCGGGATAGTTAAATAATGGGAAGGCCTTTGATAGGTTTGCTCCAAATAAGCAAGAAATTGAAGCAAGAGGAATGGTTGGTTTGCAGGGGGTAAATGTGCGTTGGCAAGGCAAAAAAGGATGGCGGGTGTGGCTTCCACTCCCCCCAGACCGGGGACGGCGTTAGGCAGCAAAGGTAGTGGCTAAAGAGGCTAGAGCTAAACTTGCTAAGCTAGGGCGGAGCTAAAATGCTGAAAAGGGCGAGGCGTATATATGCCGGTCACACACTCCGGGGCCTCGGATTACAAACGTCACGGGACGTAAGACTCAGATCCATAGGTGGTATCAATCGAGCAGGAGTTGAAGCCCCGCCCCCTGTTTATGGCAGGGGGGGGGAGTCAAAGGGAGGCAAATCCACGAGCTCAGGTACAAAATGACAGAGTACCATGGTGCGGGGAAAAAGACGAACAGGCGATGATCGACTGTGCAGGCAGGCTTTCTATTCAGAAAATAAATGGCCTGTTTTAAAATGAGTAAAAAGTGTTATTTGATCAAAGTATCTCGACAGACCCGACCCTCGAACAGTTGAACACTCACAGAAGTGTTTTTAGTTTGAACAAGAGAACTTGAGAAGAATCGGCTCTTTTCTTTGACTTTTGAGGTGAAGAAAGTCGTAGGCGGCGCTTTTCTCCACGCAAGATTAAGACGAATAGTTCCGTTGTTTAGGGTCCCCTCTAGTGAAATGTCCAGTGTTGCATCGCAGCGCAGGAGGATAAAAGGGTGGAGCAAGGTCATCAGTTAATGAAGTAACGGGAAAATGCCAAATCTCTAATCTACAAATGGGGGATACAGGCCCCTCAATTTTTGATTTTTTCATTTTGTTGTGACGTCTTTTTTAATTTCTGGACCCGGGGGCGTCCTGTCGTGTAAGAGTTCAATAATAATAATAAAAATCAATAATGGGGATTATTTTTTTCAGTCGATGGAAAGGGGGGAGAAAGACACAGAATCTTCCTCATAAAGGGAGAGCTCGGTGAACACCAGCACGCCTGTACTGTAAGCACCATTTCAAATACAAATTGTGACTGAGAGTTTAGTGTCCGGGAGATCAAGAGGCCGAGAGGGACCACAGCGAGCTTAAAAGGCATTTAAAGACGTACGAGGCGCGGCTTTTTCTGACGTGAGCCCAACATTCGGTGGGGGACACGTTCTGTCGCGCCAGGGAAACGTGCAACCCTCGGGAGAGAGATCCATGGAATTGTGGACAGGGTGTGGATCTGACCCTCAACCTCACATGGGGACTTTACCCCGTTTCCACCAGCGCTGCCCACTTAGATCCTGCTCATTTGGACTCTACTCAACCTCTGATTGGGATTAGAGTAGAGTAAGGGTAAGGTAGGGTAGGTAGAGTAGAGGTAAGAATAGAGTCAGAGTAGAGTAGAGTAGAGTAGAGTAGAGTAGAGAAGGGAAAACGTAGAGGTAAGAGCATAGTAGGGTAGGTAGAGTAGAGAAGAGTAAGTAGTAGGGAGGGTCGGCAGGGATAGAGTAGAGTATAGTAGAGTAGGTAGGGTAAAGTAAGTAGGGTAAGTAAGAAGAGTAGAGTAGAGTAGAAGCAGAGTAGGGTAGGCTAACAATCTAACGCAGGGCTCAGAGGCCCAGTGTGCTGCGGTTTCATTCCACAACCAAGCAGGGAGCAACACAATTCTACCCATTTCCTCAAGTGATCCAGTCTGCGGAAGCCAAGGAGACACTCTGAGGAACATCTTGGAAGGACGTATCGGTTGGTCACACAGGGAACACAGGCCGTTGTTGAGAGGAAGTACAAAAAGGATCCAAAAATAGGTCAAAATACGTCCAAAATGTTGTTCTGAATCTGTCCAATTCTCGTTCTATACCATCAATCTCATACACATTCAGCAGGAAAAGGCCGCGTCTCACGCCCCTAACCGTGGGCAGTGATTTTGGAGCTCTGCCTCGTTATTTTCCTATAAAGACATGTTTTTAACGAGATGTGGGTGAAATGTTTGGCTATCTCTGCTGAGGGGAGACGGCCGTGTGGTGCGAAGGCAGAGGCGGACGGAGGCGGGAGGTGATTTGAGGGACGATGCGGGGTGGATGGTTCTGTTAGACACAGGGGGGAGAGGGGGACATAAGAACACAACATTTCCCCCCCGGAAAAACACGGACAAGTTCTGTGAGATTCGCCTGGAGGGCTTTGATCGACTCTGCGCGGGATGGTGCAAGGCCTCCCTCGCTGGGAGTCCATGAGGCGCTGGGCGGTGCGGCGGATGCGGCGGGGGCTGTCGGAGGGGGGTCGCCCCTGTAGGTTCTCCGTGCGGGGGAGGGGCGGGGCAGGAGGGCGGGAGTTGTGCAATGATGTTGCGTCCACATCTCCACAGGAGGTCGTACAAGGCACCAATGTTCTTACAATCTTCATCACCAGTGGCAAGGTGGTACCATGCCTTTGGTTACTGCAGCATGAGAACACCAGGGTTATTTTTTTAATTATATAGAACTTTTAACAGACCCACAAAGGTCACTTTACCAAGTCAGAAAGGTTCAGTATGTTTCTATCTCTCTCACAAATCAACACCACCCATAAGCAACCTAAGATGATGAACATGTTTTTAGTGGTAGGTAGAAACCGAGCACCTAGAGGACACCTACCAGCGAACGTACACGGGGAGAACATGCAAACTCTCACACACCAGGTAAACACCAGCTGGGCCTTGGCAACTCGTTGTTGGCAACCATCAAGAAAGCTAACGTCGCGGGAACAAATGCGGCCAAGGAGTGAACTGTACTGTCTGCTCCTCAGAGTTATCACGGCTGGGGGTTTTGATCTTTGTAAAGCCAGATTGATCCATACACAGCATTGACCATTTCCACGGCCTTCATACGAGCGAGCCCACACCATGTTAGCATGTTAGCTGCAGCTAGCGACTCTATCCATCCATCCATTAATCTGTACCTTCCGCTTCATCCGAGGCCGACGGTCGGCGTGGTGCAGCGGGTCTAAGCATGAGACGTCCCAACATCCAATCCACACACACTTCCTCCAGCTCGTCCCGGTCAGGCTGGGGGCTGCCCCCAAGGCGCTGACCTGGGGGGAAGTCCCAGGCCAGTCTGAGAGACATAGTCCCCTCCAAGGAACGTGTCCTGGGTCGTCCCCCGGGGCGCCTCCTCCGTAGGGGACGATCGCCCGCACACCTCCCCGGGGATTCGACCAGTAGTGGCGTCCGGAACGGAGGCCCGAAGCCACCTCCCCTGGTGACCTCTCGACGTGGAAGAGAGCAGGCGGCTCAACTCCCAGATTTTCCCCTCCTCCCGTGTGACCGAGCACCTCACCCTATGCTCTAAGGGAGCAGCCCATCCATCGGCGGAGGAAGCTCAATTTCGACCGCGTTGGTAATCCAGCGCTCCGCAGGTCGTTCTTACGGTCATAGACCCAAAGCTCAAGTACCAAAGGTGGAGGAAGGGAACGGCAGATTGAACCGTAAAATCGAGAGCGTTTGCCTTTCGGCTCAGGCGTCTCTCCACCCCCCCGTCTTCGACCACCTAGCGACCGCAACACATGCCACCTGGCACCGATCCGCCTGTCAATCTCACGCTCCATGCCTCCCTCGACCCGCCGAACAAGAACCCTGATGATACTTGAACTCCCTCCACTTGAGGAAGGACACCTCACCACCCACCTGGAAGAGGACCCAGGCCCTGGAGAGGGACCAAGGGACCTGAGAGGACCAGGACCTGGAAGGACCAGCACCTGGAGAGGGAAGGTGCAACCTTTTCTGTGTCCGAGCACCATGGCCTCGGATTTGGCAGTGCTAGCTACAACTAGCATTTGGTCCAATTAGTGTTTGTGATAGTGTGTCGTGTGGTGTGGTTACCTAGGCGTGGCGAAGGTGTTACAGCAGCATAGACGGAGAGTGGCCAGGCGTGTGTACTTGCTCCCGGAAGACTGACGAGCCAGTTTTTCCCGCTGTGGAGACCAGACCAGAGAGAGAGACAGAGGGTGTGGAGACCAGACCAGAGAGAGAGACAGAGGGTGTGGAGAGACCAGAGGAGAGAGGCCTCTGCACAGCTCAGAAGTGTTTACTGATCATAGACTGTATACAAATGGACTATGCTAACCAGCTAGCTCAACAAAGGGCTGTTTTGCTCCAACTCGCTCCATTGATTGAAATAAACTCCTCTCGCTCAAAAACCTTCAGGTCTTGCTCACCTTTTTGGGATTTAAAATCTACAGTTTAGCGCTCTCTGAGATCCTGAAATGTTTAGTTTAATAAAGTCTTTGTAAATCCAGCTATGAACCATACATATGATTGACCAATCAGATGCATTCATTCAAGGGGGAAACTTCAGCATGTTTGTTGAAGTAGTAGTAGTAGTAGTAGTAGTAGTAGTAGTAGGGTATTTTAATTGTATGTACTAAAGAAAAACAGACACATACAAAATACCCAGTTTCAAAAGGCGTTGGACGAAGTTAGGTTGTATTTGAGACAGATTTTTCCATCCTTAAAAGGCTCATATCTGGATTTACTGTATAAAGACAAAATAAAAGTATAAACACCAGGATCACAGAGAGCGCCTAAATGGTGACATCTCAGAAAACAAACAAATAAAGTTAAAGTGGGTAATAGTGAAGCATTAATTTATATTTCTGTGTTGAATGTAAAATAAAATACCATTTTCAACTCATTCCAGTGAGTGTTGCTTTTCAAAGAAAAGCCACTTTGGGCAACACAATGGAGCCACGTTCATTCATAAAAACACACAATACTACACTACACACACAACACAATCCTATCAGAGCGGGATCAGTCCCAGCGGCCGAGTGCAGCACAGATCACTTTCACTTTCACCTCAGCTTCAACATTTCAGAATGAATCACAAACAAAGCTATACTTCCTGAAGACCAGTCTGGACCGGCCTCAGTCTACATCCCAGTCCTCAGCTCTGGGGCTTTGTGGAGGGGGGGGGGGGGGGGGGGCTCGGAGCAGAGCTGTTGCTCTTCTATGATTTTCCTGTCTGGCCTCATGGAGGAGACCCAGGAAGTAAATCAGCCACTTCACTAACGGAATGATGACTAATGCGTGTGCTGCGAGCCGTTGTCATGGAAACTAAAGTATGTTTAAGAGTTTAAAGCTGATCGTTCTTATTCTATTCAAAAGTATCACTTTTTCAACTATATTTAAAAAAACAGACTCCTCCTTCTGCTTCACAGCTGAGCTCCTCAGCTTCACTTCACGACTGTATTTAAACAGAGCCTCTCAGTCCTGCAGCACTTAGCTGCTGTTTGTGCAGCAACCCTCCTCCTCCCCGTCGCCGCCTCTTCCGTGGAGAATCATCTGTTGTTGTTCAGCTTCCTTCACCCCCAGGGTTTAGACTCCAATGAACAATAGTTCCATATTCAAAGTGTGATTGTGATTATTGACCTGAAATGATTCTAAATCCACAAAGCGCTAATCGCCTCAGCTGCTCAGGCTCCGGGGAAAAATCAGGAGCATTTTTACTGACATTCAGTTTGTTAGTTTACAGCAATACATTGCAATACATTAGATTAAAACACATTCTTTTCCAGGGGGCAAAAGTATGAGGCATGATGTGATAGGACACATGTGAACGCAGAGAAACACAAAAGCTTAGAAAGACGTCTGAGCATTTGTGGTCGATCAACAGATTAGAAAAAAACTTTTACAGCTCTGTGATGTTCTCAGAGCAAACGATGGAGACAGAAAATACAAATAAAACACTTTATGAATATGCATTTTCTCAAAAGAATTGTTAATTCTAGCTCTTTCTTTGTCATTTCATGTTTCAGAACGAGGGATCATTTGGGATCTTAGCGTGGAGGAATACCCTGAACGCAGATACAAACAGCAAAAATAAGTCAGGTATCTCAGCTTTAACATTTACAGGAACAGAACAGGATGAATGGGCTGTGGCAGCGGTGTTGTCCAGCCCATGTATTTATGATGAGAACAGTTATAAATAGAGTGAACTCTGGGTCTGGGCTGGAGTTAGCAGGTGCCTCTCTCACACTCACACTGACACCACAACAACACAACACCACAACATCACCAACACAACAACAACACCACAACACCAACACCAACACTGATGCGGCCAATTCAGTTGTTTACTATTGTCTAGTTATAAGTTTAATTGATAACTATATTAATGCTGTATTTGTTCATTTTGTGGTATGGGAGGTTTTGGTTTAGGCGCATTACCATAAATATCCATTTGGGGGCGCACCTCAGGGAGTGGGGTTACCCTGAGTACCAACCGCTTTTACCTGAACTACGGCAAAAACTTATTTTGTTTTGTTTCGTTGTGTTCTGTTGAATGTGGGAGTTTCTTGAAAACAAAAAGTTCTTTAAATCCTAATAATCTTTGTGAGTTTGGACCTTTATCATCGTACACCTGCACGGCAAGTAGAACCGTGTTCCCCAACCTTTTTGAGCCTGGAACCTCTCTCATTGAAAAATCATGGCACAGAATCAGCTGAAACTAAGGTCAAGTTATTCTCTTCCACGTGTATCATAGAACATCAAACCAAAAGTACAAACTAAGCTTCTTGCATTAGTTTCTTTTCACACTATTTTGACCAATTAGACGACAATGTGTTATTTCCAAAGGCACGACAAGCAAAGTGTCAAGGCACACAAACATTCCATGTCACAATGGTTGAAAAAGATAAGAGATAAGAGTTCCTTTATTCGTCCCACAGTGGGGAAATTTCAATGTTGCAGCGCACAAGGACAGGACAGTAGAAAGAGCACACACAAAATACAAAATAAGTAGTAGCTATGATTCTTAACTAGCTTAATCAATCAATCAATCAATCAAAGTTTATTTGTAGAGCGCCTTTCATACACATGGCAACACAAAGCGCTTCACAGTCCACATCACAAATCATCACATAAAACAAACACCAGAATCACAATTAAAACATTAAAATCACACAAAAGATTAAAACACAATTAAAACATTAAAATCACACAAAAGAATAAAACCATTAAAACTTTCAAAATTACACAAGAAATTTAAAAAAATAAATAAATGACAGCAGTGCATTAAAAATGGAGATAAAATCCTTCAGTTGTATGCACAGGCAAACAGAACAGTCTTTAACCTGGATTTGAACATTGACAGAGTAGACGCCTCCCTCACATTTTCAGGGAGATTGTTCCAGATCTTAGCTGCATGGATCTGAAACGCAGCCTCCCCATGTTTGGTTCTCACTCTGGGCACCAGCAGGAGGCCAGTCCCTGTGCTCCTCAGAGTCCGGGCCGGTTCATATGACACCAACATGTCACTAATGTATTCTGGTGCAAGGCCATGGAGAGACTTGTACACAAGCAGAGCCGTTTTAAAATCTATTC